CCTTAGGAACCGCTACCTCCACGGTGCCTGATGAACCCGCCCCGTCGATGTATGATTTCTGGTTGAAAAAACTAGATCAAAATGAAAGAGCGGATGTAAATGTTCCAACTCCGCGATGGGTGAGGCGGTATGCAGTGCTAAATGATCGTGAAGCAGAACGACTCCAGCGTGGCCGGTTGATGAACCAGCCAATGGCTGGAATGAGTTTGATCTGCAAAACTTTGGCTGTCTGGTTCACGTCATGCGCAACCCAGAGCATGCCTTTATGATAGGACTGTTTGTCCTTCGGGGTAGAAACTGGAACAACATGCCGGAGGTGCGTATGATTTGGGATCACCGGCACACCAACGATCCTGTGCCTTATGTGTTGGGGTATCAGCCGGGCGGTTTGAATGAACAGAACACTGAGTATGAGATTGACCTCCTTGGCATTGTAGAGATAGAAAGGGTCGTCGACTTTGAAGGCGAACCCAACCGTCGTGGCTACCTCTACCGGGCCATCCGATATGGCCAGCCTCCTCAGTATGATCGAAAGCAACATGATTTGGCTAGATCGGTTCCGCTCTGCAGAAGAGGCCGGTCGTACTCCAGTTCCGAATCCCCAAGGGCCTCCGCCCTTTGAGAACAGGAGAGATCGCTCTCCGCGTCGGGACCCTGACGCTGGGCCTGCCTTTCGTGTTGCTCGGCTCTTCTCGAACTCTGGCGGGTCCCCGTCGGCAACAGAAGCGTTCTCTCCGTGTGAGACCTTCTGCAAGCAGGTGCTTCTCGAAGGAAACTCCGTTTCCACGGGTCAGCTTGCGAATGCCATTCGACTGTACGTTCAAGACAAGAAAGCGATCAATCGGATCGCCAAGCGACCCTTAGCTGGAAACCAGAAGGATGAGTCTTCTGGGGCCACGCTTCCTCCCTGGTTCTGGTCATCCGGAGCATGGGTTTTCAGTGCGAAGGTTGGAATAACTAATACAGTGCACGAGTGCCCGTGGCTCACTAGACTTCTTGCTGTGAGCCTCTTCCACCGCACTGGCCAGAAGTTTGCTTCCGTTGGTTTTGTGATCAACATTGAGTCGGAGGTCCATCGCGACTCTCACAATTCCCTGGAGTCAATGAATGTGGTTTGGAATGTTGGGCAGGGCTCGGGTTCCCTTGAGGTCTGTGGCCATGAGATGCCTCTTCCGCCTAACGCCTGGCTTAGCTTCCCCCCGCGTGATCTCCACAAGTCTGGAAGCTGGGAAGGGGACAAAATCCTGGTTTTGGGCTACACCCCTAGATCTCTTGAAAGGCTAACTTCTTCGGATCTTCTAAGCTTGAGATGGGTGAATATGCCAATCCAGGACATTGAACCTCTGCAAGCATCCCCTGCCAGTGGAGAATCCTCTCCCGGGGACGGTTTGTCAAAGTTGCTTCCAGCTGAGTGTGATTCTGGTGACGAGGAAGCAGACTTGCCGACAGAGGAATCTTGGAGCCAGGTAGCTCAAGGATATGAGCAAATGCACCAAGCAGTGACTCACTTTCTTAAGTCACTGCAGCGATCTGTTGTAGGCGCTTCATCTGAAGGCCCAGTTGATCCCATCACCTTGCAGGCGATGCGCGAAGCGTCCTCCCTTCGCAATGAGTTGGGCTGGCATCTAGAACTTGCGCGCCTTCATGGCTGCGATGAACCTGTCAGCTCCTCCTCTTGGAGGGTGTGTGCCGCTGCCCCTGCAGCTGAACATCTTGAGTCTCAGCCCTTGCTACATACCCGTATTGTCTCGAATGAGGAAGTTCGTGAAAAACTGCATGAATGGCGTGATGCCATGAAAGCAGAATGTGATTCCTTGATTTCGAAGGGTGCGGTTGAGCTTGTGGCAGATAGTCAAGTTGAAAAATGGATTTTAGATGGTGAAGACGTAGAGATCCTCCCCGGCCGGGGTGTTGCCACTGAAAAGCCCCCAGTAACTCCCGGATCCACCAAAAGGAATAAGTATAGAGCTGTAATTTGCGGCAATTTCCAAAAGTGGTCTGAGGAAAGGGCGGCAGAGTCCTTCTATGCCGGAGGAGCGGATTCTCTTTCGATCCGCACTGCTTTGAGATGGGCCGGAATGAGAAAACATGGCGGTTCAGGTACTGACGTCAAGACTGCCTTTCTCAATGCTCCCCTTGATGAGCAAGAGGCAGAATATCTGATCTGTAACCCACCTAAGGCTTTGTATGCCGCTGGTGTTATCCCTCGGGGTTACAAGTGGAGAGTCCATGGTGCTCTCTACGGGCTCCAGACCTCGCCCCGTGCTTGGTCCCGCCTCCGGGATAAAACTTGCAGAGTCCTGACCTGGACCGTTGATGGCGAGAACCGCCACTTGCAACAGTGTGTTGCCGACCCCAACATTTGGCTTGTCAAGTCCCCTTGCGGTGAGACTGTTGCCTTAAGGTGTTGGTATGTCGATGATCTCCTAGTGTTGGGACCTTGGTCAGAGCGATCGGCTCTTCTTGAGAAAGTCAAGGCCACCTGGGAGTGCAGCGCATTCACGCATACCGAAGACGGCCCAGTCGAGTATTTCGGAGTCTGCTGATGGTCTCTTGATTGGGCAGACCAAGTATACCAAGGAACTCTTGAAGAGGCACGACGTGCAGGGGTGTGCCAAATCCCCTTGTGCTGCGTGGTCTGCAAACTTCGATGATGGTGAAAGCCGCGATGATCCGGTTGACCCGGGAGCGGTTAAGGCTGCTCAAAGCCTCACTGGAGAGCTCTTGTGGCTCTCAGTTCGAGCGCGACCCGAGCTGTCCTTTCCTGTCAGTCGTATGGCACAGTTGACCACCAAGAGGCCAAACGATGCAATAAGCATTGGGCAGGGAGTGTTGCGTTTCTTGAATTCTTCACCCTCCCAGTGCATTGTGTACGGCCCTCCTCCTGGTGACTGCGGGACCTCTCAACAGTATCCGAGGCCGGTTGTTGAAACTACCCTGCACGCCTTTGCGGATGCCTCTTTCGGGCCAAGTTCCGGCAGATCCCACCAGGGTCTGCTAGTGTGTTGGGCTGGAGCTCCGCTCCACTGGGAATCTGGCCGCCAGACGCTGACGGCTCTGTCAACCGCTGAGAGCGAGCTAATCAGCTATGTCTGTGTTGTGCAAGCAGCTGAAGCTGTTGAGGCCTTGATTGGGGAGATCTTTCCAGAGCCCCTTACTCGATCCCTCTTCGGAGATAACTCCTCAGCCATAAGCATTGTAAGCGGCCCCCCAACTTCCTGGAGATCCCGACACTTAAGACTTAGGTCCCATGCCCTACGTGAAAGGATCGAAAATGGTGTTTGGACGGTTTACCATTTGAGCGGCCTACTGATGCCCGCCGATATCCTTACTAAGGCTATGACAGCTTCGAAATTCGGCGACATGCTGCCGTTTCTAGGAGTTAAAAATCCTTCTGAAGATTGTCGGTTGCGGCTGGCCGCGGTGTTGGCATGCTGTGCCCTGCTTCTGGGGCAAGGCTCTCCAGAGCCTGAGGGTTGGGGTTGGGTGATAGTGTACCTTGTGGTTGTGATATTAGCCTACGAGGGTTTTAGGTCCTTCCTTAGGAGGTTCTTAGGCGTAGCTGTGTCTGTGTTCCCAGGCCTCGGTGCTCGATTTCCCGAGGTCCTGGATGTGCATTCCTCGCCCGACCAAGGGACCACGCAGCCGCCTTCTGTCAATGCCCCACCCTCACCTTCCGCGCAGCTGCCTACTCCTGGTGCTCGACTTCCCAGGGGTTCGTCCTCCTCCACCGGTGCTCGTCTTCCCGGTGGAGACCCATCTTCCCTTCGATCATCTCCAACCCTCCGATCCATCAGAGTGAATACCAATCCTGAGGACTATGCTCCTCTTCCTCCTGTTCTTCCAGCTGCCCCTGCAGCTGCCTACCGTCATCCAATTGATTTGGTGAGCCATTCCACTTCCAGCGGCTCCCATTGGCATCAAAATCCCGAGTGCTACCATCTCCGAAACCGGGATCACTCCTCACTGCTTCCGTGTAGTGATTGTGTGGTTGGCCGCACGGTCTTCCATACCAACCTCCCTACTGGACTTCGACGCCGCAAGGGAAGGTAGATGACGGACTTCGAGGCAATCATTGCCTTGCAGGCTACCATAGCCTCCGAGCACCAACTCGTTAAACTGCTTCGCTGCCTGTCGGCCTGGACTTTTGCAGCGGCCTGTAAGTGTCGCTTTCTTCCTCATGGCTGGACTTAGTCTTTCTTTGAGGCTAGTCAGGCCCTCGACTTCTTTCTTCCCTCCTCGCCGTGCCACCATCCGTCTTTCCCTTGTGGATTTTTGAGGCGGCACCGTGGGGTTAAAGGGGCTTTTAAGCACTATACTTTAAGTCGTCTCTTATCTTCTGTTTCTTTCGAAATGCCTTGAGCTCTACTGTAGATGGCCGCGGAAACTCCTGAATGGATGGATTCCTCTTAAGAGGCAGAAGTCCACAGGAGTAGCAAGGGCCACGTAGTCTTTGCGAAGCGCAAAGGGGGGAGTGTTGCAAGACCCCTGCGCAAGAATGACACGCCCTTGCAGGCCTTTTTTGCTCAGCGTATATAAAGTTGTTGCGTGCTTTCGGGGTGTTAGTCCAGGGTCGAGCCTAGAGTCCCAAGCGTAGGAACCCAGGTTCCTCTAAAGGCCCTTCCCCGGTAGATCCTCGAAAAGAATTATTATTATTGTTATTATTATTATTATGATTATGATTATGATTATGATTATGATTATGGTTATTCTGATTATAAGTATTATTATTAGTAGTAGTAGTAGTAGTAGTATAGTACTATTATATATATATACACATGTATATATATACATATATATATACTGACTGTATATACACATACATAGGTGTGTATATATATATATATATATATATACAGGTACACACATATACATATATATATATATACAAAATGCAGACATGGTGCGGGATGATGTCGGTAGGAAATTTCCCTCTTCGATCCGGCATAGCAGCTACTTGTCGGGACCATCTATGGCTATCGAGCTGTTGAACTTGGCAGGATTGGTTGAGAACTTGCCGTTCCAACATCGCCATGGATGGGAAGGTGTGTTGCCCTGTATGCAAGGATGAGCTGGACCGGAGGAAGTTGGCACAGAAGTGCTCACAGGCAGTCTGGACAGAACTGCATGAAACTCTGGTGGATGCTCAGGTCTCAAAGCAGGTGCAGAAGCTGCAACATGAGTTCGATGAGCGCTTACAGCGAGAGGTTGATAAGCTCATGGCCTCATACGGTAACGAAGACGAGCAGATCCGCCGACAAGCTGCCACCTTTGCATCTAAGGCACGCAACGAAGCTCTGAGTCTTGCATGCCCAAACAAGGAATGCCAGCAAGTTTATGTGGACTTTGAAGGCTGCATGGCATTGGAGTGTGGCCGATGCAGACAAAACTTTTGTGGCTACTGTCACAAGCCGACAGCCACTTCAAGGGGCGCTCATGAACATGTCCGGGAGTGCGAGGCCAATCTCACAGAGAACGGCAGCTACTATGCTGATGAGCGCATTATTAGAGAAGCCCAAAGGAGGTACCGCATCAAGCGCTTGAAGCAATTTTTCCAGAACAACAAGTTCAACCAGCGCCTCCGAAATGCCGGAACCTCATTCATTGCCATGTAGATGTGAAGCATATGAGCTTGTGGAAGCCTGGTCGGTATTCATCCGGGTCAGTTTGTGGCAGAGTGCGCAAAGAAAGGTGTAGGAGAGAGTCTCTCTCTCTCTCTCTCTCTCTCTCTCTCTCTCTTCTTCGCTAGAGAAAGAGAGAGAGAGAGAGAGAGAGAGAGAGCGAGAGCGAGAGCGAGAGCGAGAGCGAGAGAGAGAGAGAGAGAGATAGAGAGAGAGAGAGAGATAGGGAGCGAGAGACAGAGAGAGAGAGAGAGAGAGATAGCGAGAGTGATAAAGGGAGTGCAGACAGCGAGAGCAGCGATACAGAGACGGCAGCGATTCAGCAGCTTCTGATTTGTCGTAAGCCGTAAGCATTCACGAGGAAGGTCAAAATTGATTAACGTGTTGTTCCCGCTGTGCTCTTGAAAACCGTAAGTCTGTTCAAACAAGAGCGAGACAGAGGGAGAAACACAGAGGGGAGAGAGAGGGACAGAGAGCGAGAGAGTGAGAGACAGAGATCTATGCGTATGCATGTGCTTAAGTTTGTGAGTGTTTGCTAGTTTGATCGGTTGGTTGTTTGTTTGGTTCTTTGCTTGCTTGCTTGCTTGCCTACATCTAGTATGCAGCTTTCATATATCATATATCCTAAGTCACACATTATGTATCTATGTGTATATATATATATGTATATATCTCTGTGCATATACATATATATATATATACATATATATATATATACATATATATATATATATATACATATATATGTATACATATATATATATATATATTCATATATATTCATATATATATATATATATATATATATATATATATATATATTTATATATATTTATATATATATATATATTCATAAATATATATATATATATATATATATATTCATACACGCACATACATGCATGCATACATGCATAGATATACATATAAACACATAAACTTACGTAAGCTTCCCCTCATGCACATGCACGTCCGCATGCGCGCACACGCACACATACGCACAGACACCGATACACACATACACACATACATACATACATGCATACACACAAGCATACACCTTGTGCATACGAGGTTACATCACATGTACATGTGGTGGCTATTTGGGCGTAAACGCGAACACTTTTGCAGTGATTGGGGAACCTGAACAGAGATCCTCCAATCCTCAAACGTGACAACCACCCTCCCTCTCGAGCTTCCCGAGTCTAGGCTGTTGTCATCGAGCTGAACAAAGACTTGGATGATCTCAGCATCGACCCCGCCGCTCTTTTCGATTTTGGAAACTTGCAAGCGTAGTACGGCAGCGTCCGACAGACGCGGATGCAGCTGCATTCGACTATTTGGGCAGCTATGTCACGGTCTTCTGTAACCTTGTTTTTTCGCGAAGTGCGCAGACACAGTGAAGTGGAGCTTGTTACTGGCGAAAGCAGTACGCCTTGATGCAAGCAGCAAGGTTTACCGTTTTTGCCGTTTCACCATGGTTAGCGCGTTGTACATACCGTGACACTTTGCTGCGTGTAGGCGATGACATCTTCCCCCTGTCCTTCTGCCTACGCATCAGCAAGTGTCTCGTTTGATAGTGCGGATGGATATCAGCTCGTGGGCACACGGTGGTGTCACAAAGTGCTTGCACGTGTGGTGCTGCATGAACCTTCTCGGCCAATGCTCAGGGCCGGTATTATGCTACACTACAACCTCCAATGAAAGGCCCGGGACCTCTTAACGCCCTGGGCCCTGGGCCTTAGGCTCCAAGAGCCCCAAAACCTTAAAGCCTTACAGAATTGAAGAAGAAATCCTAGTAGAACCCGAACCTTCAGAGAGTCAGGTCGAGCTACCGGCCTGAGCCCGGAGGGCACGGGCTCCGGGCGAGTCATCCCAAGGCAGCCCTCCGGCGCCCAATGCTCAGAAGCGAGGCCTTAGTTGAGGATTTGGGGTTTCGGGCTGTACGGCTTCGGTGTGATGTTTTCTTTATGGTTCCGGTCAAACCAGGGTTTACGGCTTTAGGGGCGGGGGTGTTGCTAGGGGCGTACTATCAGCTTCGGTCCGTGGCAAGCAATCTTGCATGGTTGCATGGTCCTCGGTTGCTAGCAGTGGCACTGATGATGATGGTGGTGGTGGCTGTCGTTAGCCTGGCATTCGGCTGCAAAGCTGTGCTGGTGTTGGACGGTTGTGCGACCAAAAACTGATTTCAATACGAAGATGAACCAGTCGCAGCGTATTACAAAAATACAGCCTGCAATACAGCCCAAGATAACTAAACCCCGAACCTGAACCCTCGACTCTGACCACCACTTATGACTCCTGAACCCTAAACGGCAATTGTCGAAATCCTGAGCCAACCCCAAACTCCCATCAGCCAAGGGACTGACTTAGGTCAAGTTGCAATAACATGAGCCCGAATATCTTGTAGATGCTTTCCTCCTATGGTAACTTAACCTAGTGCCTAAGCGCTCTTTAGAAGCCCTACACATCTCGGGGAGCATCTGCCAAAGCCTCGGCAAAAGGAGCCGATTCGAGCAAGGAAAGTCAGGAGCGATAGCACCCTGTCAGAACCCCATGATAAGAGCCCAGCAAGTTAGGTGATCGCCATCTTCGGAGCTCTTGGGTCGGCGTTTGCGGCAGCAGTGGTTGCTTTGAGCACGGGCAGCGTCCCTTCGACTCGTCTTAGGGCTTCGGGCTCCGAGGGTCTCAGGTCTAGCTGAGGCCGTTACAAGCCAGGCAGCTGGAGTTTTGGTTTGTGATTCATGAAGGTCTTCGAACCCGGGTCTGAGGGTATGATTCCGGCAGTCCGGGTGGACTTGTACAGAATTGCAGAACGCAGGAGACGATGGGATCTCCGGGCCTGATGTAACAACAAGCAGATGATGATGACGATGACAGCAGCGGCAAGATTCTGCAACGTTGCCTTTCGACGGAGAAGCTGTTGCTGTTCGTGCCGAAATGGTCTGGTGAGAGGTGACCAGTTCTCTTGCTGGCCATGTCTTTTTCAACTGGAGTCATTCCGTCTAGAACTGAAGACCAGAATGATTCGTGAAGGAAGGCATGTTGTTGAACAAGTCGAATAAGCGCCACGCCCATGCCGCTACGGGGGCTCCCCAGCTTTCTTACTTAATGGATCCAAGCTGCTGAAGTATCCCGCCACCAGAAGATGCAGAGCGAGTTGTAACAGGGCTTCATGTGTTGAATGCCTAGCGAAGGTAGCTGTTGGGACGCTGGGTGGTGTGGCAGGGGCCTCGACTTATTTTAGGTCTGGGCTGTGCCAGAGCACGACTTCGAGGGCAGCGGCTTATGTTTTGGAATGTAGGTAGCAGGTCTTGCAGTCTTGCATTTCTTGACGGACTGAGGCGGTGACGTGCTGCGTCACGGGGGTGGCCACCGGTGACATGCTCAAGAGCCGCTTTGCCAACAGTCTAGTCCAACTTGATTTGTCAATCTCTTCTGAGTTCTTTGTCAGTTTGCGGCGTGGTCTTAGAGGACTTGGGGCCAAGGGTAGGAAAATGCTGACATGACTCTGCTTTTTCTGATGTTGACCCGCCCCAACGGACCAAGCAAGCATGGATACATGTTGTGCTACACTTGCCGATAAAGTGCCGGCTACGGCGCGGCTACGGCTTCTACACGCATGTAAGCATGCATGCATAGATGAATAAAGGTCTGTATGTGTGTGTGTATGTAAGTAAGCAAGTAAGTATGTATGTATATATGTATGTAGGTTGGTATGTATGTATGTCTGCATGCGTGTGTGTGTGTGCATGTTTGTATGTATACATGCATATCTGCATATTCATAATCATATTCATATTAAACTCCTGTATGTATATATATATATATACACATACGCACATGTGTATATACACATACATATTTATTTGTGTGTCTGCGTACACGCGCTTAACTTATACATAGCAGTGTGTATATATATATATATATGCACATACACATACATATATATATATATACACCTATACATATGTGTGTGTGTGTATGTGACTGTACATGTGAGTGTAGATGGATGCATATGACACATAACATATATATATATACATACATTCATAACATGTGCATATATAGTACATTTGCATGCGGTACTCGTGGAGCAACGAGGTTTACATGTTACTCAAGCCGATGGCTACAGGGCTTGGGTAGCCCAGGACGGAATCTCCTCTCCACGGAGCCCGGGTTGGTGCTCGACTGAAGGGCCAAAGCTTCGGCCAGTCGCCAAAGCTGCGACTGAACCGGAAGCCATCATCCAGGGTTCAAGAATTTAGGTGGGATAGGACAAGGGCTTGGGATAGCTACACGAGTTCAGGGCTTAAGAACGAGGGTGTCAGAATGGTTCAACTTCAAGGATTGAGAGTCAAGTTGGTGCCGCAGCGAGATTCGGATCCACGATCCATGTTCTCAAAAGCTGCTTTGGAAGACTTGGGCGCTCCAGGTCTCTGGCGCAGTTAGTGCCGGCAAGCGGCCCTGGTCTGTCTTCGGTGATCTCAGTCGACCGGCAGCACCAGTAGCAGAATGTGTGATTTTTGTTTCGTGCGGTGGCCAGTCGATGCATGAGGCCGGGAGATAGCTCCAAGGAGCAGGCATTCCAACACGGGAAGCTCCTTTCTCGCGAAAGCTTCCTTCTGGCCAGGTGCTTGCTGTTACTCAGCCAAGGCATCGCGAGCCCTTCGGGTTGAAACCGACGAGTGCGTGTTCCTAGCCGTTTGCTGAAGCTCAAGCCACTATGCACAGGAGGCTACCTTACATCAAGCAGGTCGCATCTGTGACATGCCATGCACAAGAACTAGAAGTGTCCTATGTTCTCAAACTATCTGCATCGCATCTTGCCTGAACCTTGCATGCTTACGTTGGCGCACCGCCCTACCTCGTCTCTGAGCACGCAATGCAGAACGTAGACTGTACAGACGACCTTTCCTAGAAGATTTTGAGGAGCCCCGCCGCCCAGTGCCAGCCATCATGGGTGGGGGCAGCAGCCATTTCCTCGGTGTCAGGGCGCCTGTGCAGTTTACGGGTTTCCTGGAGAGTTGCACAGACGTCAGGATTAGTTAAAGCACGAGTCGACCAGAAGGGGGCCTGAAGGCTGTGTTCGTTCGTTGTGTCTATCTACGCACGCCCCAAGCCGCCCACTCTTGCTGAACAGCTCCTTCCGAAGGCCTCTGGTTGACGGAGACTGGGAATCGCATCTCGAGCTGTCGGGGGTTGGATTTCATCAAGCTCGAGCACTTCCGACACATCCTAGCACTTGGACGTGTCGAGAGGCCCGAGAAGATGCTTTTCTCGGTTTTGGGTGTGAAAAGAGGACAAAGTTCGGAATCGAGAAGATCCGAATTCCGTTGAAAAGCAAGAAAATGAAAACAAAAACATCATAGGGGTGTGTCGAAAATGAAGAGTTGTTTGCGTGTGGTGTTTTTCTAATTGTTCACACCGTGTTTCAGCCTACGTTTCTCCGATTGTTTCCCTACTTCAGGAAAAATATTGAAAAGCAAAGGAAACATGGAAAATCGTATTCTGTCGATTTCCCATCGAAAATCCGACGTTGATCTTACTGGTCTCTTGTTTTCACTTTTTATAGGAAGAAATAAGGGTGTGTTACAAACGAACAATGTTCGCTGGTTTCTCGATTTTCTGCATCGAAACCTAGGATTTTCCAACGAAGTTCTACAGGCATCCGGTTTCTCTTTGTTTTCACCTATAACTTATGCTAGGAAAAATTCTTGGTGTTTCACTTACCGTGGACGTACAGCTGTTACTCATCGCTTTCCCGTGAACTCTGCAACGCTGGGGACCTCAGTCCTCAGACTAGGCCCGGCTGAGCTAGAAGATCTAGAGATTCGTTGAGCGAATCGGCTGGCTTGAGCTGCAGATAGTCGGCCACTTGTCTGAGGGATCAGTTCTCCTGAAGAACCGGGCATGTCTTCAATCTTCGCTGCGGGGTCTGTCAGCGATGCAGCGTTTGGCGACAGCACCCTCCACGTTGCTTAGACAAGACATGAGCCATGTCAGCAGCATGCAGAGCAACCGCTACAGAAGTAGAAGGCGATCACGCGATGTGAAGGTATATGTAGCTCTGGCTATACATACGAATGTAATATTGTATAACATAATATAATATGAAAAATAGGACATTACATAATACATATATATATATATATATATATATGCATATCACTTTCTACTATTATTAAATTATGCCAATACTACTTTCCTGGGCCCTGCGGGCTTCCTGTCCCAGGCCACGCGGAATTGGCCGTTCCGGGCCTTGCGTGCGGGGGCCCCGGCTGAGCGCTGCTCCAGGGTCCTTACGAAGGGAATTATCCGCTGAGTTGTGTATAGGTGTTTTTTGGCAGACCGTCAGGCTGTAGCAGGAGTTTTGAACATAGCTGAAGCTTGACAACATCCTTGGTAAGAGACATGGCACGCTCAGTCGAGCAGTGGCGAAAACGGTGGTGTTCGACCTCTTCGCCAAGGAGCTCCTAAAACTTCGAGGCCAGTTGTTTAGGCAAGCTTCTCAGTAGCATGCAAGATAGAGCCTGAGCGTATGGCGGCGCATGCTCGGACTTGTCAGATGTTGCCAAGCATGCCCGAAGCCAACCGCGGCAGTGTTGTGGCTTAGTTTTAGGACGGCTGCGAAATCCAGTTCATGGTGATGAGGAAGCTCCAGTTAACCTGGGCCTTCACCTTCTGGTCCGTGCTGAATGCATCTCGCGTAACAGTGGGCAAAGAGGGAAGCTCGCTGGAGCGCGGCGAAGCAGGGCACGGCGCCTCAGGAGCAGCGGTACTCGCACTGCCCCCACCGACACTACAGGAATGGCTGGACACTCTGACGCTGCAACATGCTCAAGCGAGGGCCGATGCTGCGAATGAACTTGGTAACTTGGGCAAAGAGGCTGCAGAGGCCATTCCCAAGCTCACCCAGCTCTTGCAAGACGATCGTGAAGTGGCAGGTGACATGTGTGTTCGAGATGCTGCAGTCAGAGCCCTTGGACACATCGGCAGTGCGGCGGCATCGTCTGTGCCAGAGATTCTCAAGCAGCTGCGGCGCCGAAGCACCAGCAGCTTTCGGGAACCAGTTGCATTTGCCTTAGCAAATATCGGCCAAGAAGCCCCCGAAGCTGTCTTGCCCAGCGTGCTGGAGGCATTGCAAGCTTCGGAGTGGTACGTTCGCTGGGTCGCTGCCAGCGCTTGTGGCCTGCTGGGCGAGAAGGCAGCTGCATTTGTGCCATGGCTCCGTCAACTTGCCAAATATGATTCCGAGGAGAAGGTTCGCACTGTGGCTTCGCAAAGCTTGAGCGACATGAGCAAAGTCATCACTCTGCCAACGCCAAATATGACCGACTGGCAGTTGCAACTTGATAGCACTAGCTCTCAAGCGAGGGCCGATGCTGCGAATGAACTTGGTAACTTGGGCAAAGAGGCTGCAGAGGCCATTCCCAAGCTCACCCAGCTCTTGCAAGACGATCGTGAAGTGGCAGGTGACATGTGTGTTCGAGATGCTGCAGTCAGAGCCCTTGGACACATCGGCAGTGCGGCGGCATCGTCTGTGCCAGAGATTCTCAAGCAGCTGCGGCGCCGAAGCACCAGCAGCTTTCGGGAACCAGTTGCATTTGCCTTGGCGAATGTAGGCCAAGAAGCCCCCGAAGCAGTCTTGCCCAGCGTGCTGGAGGCATTGCAAGCTTCGGAGTGGTACGTTCGCTGGGTCGCTGCCAGCGCTTGTGGCCTGTTGGGCGAGAAGGCAGCTGCATTTGTGCCAAGGCTACGCCAACTTGCCAAGTACGATTCCGAGCCGAAGGTTCGCACAGTGGCTTCGCAAAGCTTGAGCGACATGAGCAAAGTCATCACTCTGCCAGCGCCAAAACCGGCCGAATGGCACGAGTATCTTGATGGCAGTAGCTCTCAAGCGAGGGCCGATGCTGCCAATGAGCTTGGCAAGTTGGCAAAGTTGGGCAAAGAGGGTGCAAAATTGGTTAAGTTGGGCAATGAGGCCGCAAAAGCTATTCCCAAGCTCACCCAGCTATTGCAAGACGATCGTGACGTGGCAGGTGACATGTGTGTTCGAGATGCTGCAGTCAGAGCCCTTGGACACATGGGCAGTGCGGCGGCATCGTCTGTGCCAGAGATTCTCAAGCAGCTGCGGCGCCGAAGCACCAGCAGCTTTCGGGAACCAGTTGCATTTGCCTTAGCAAATATCGGCCAAGAAGCCCCCGAAGCTGTCTTGCCCAGCGTGCTGGAGGCATTGCAAGCTTCGGAGTGGTACGTTCGCTGGGTCGCTGCCAGCGCTTGTGGCCTGCTGGGCGAGAAGGCAGCTGCATTTGTGCCAAGGCTACGCCAACTTGCCAAATATGATTCCGAGGAGAAGGTTCGCACTGTGGCTTCGCAAAGCTTGAGCGACATGAGCAAAGTCATCACTCTGCCAACGCCAAATATGACCGACTGGCAGTTGCAACTTGATAGCACTAGCTCTCAAGCGAGGGCCGATGCTGCGAATGAACTTGGTAAGTGGGGCAAACAGGCTGCAGAGGCCATTCCCAAGCTCACCCAGCTCTTGCAAGACGATCGTGAAGTAGCAGGTGACATGTGTGTTCGAGATGCTGCAGTCAGAGCCCTTGGACACATCGGCAGTGCGGCGGCATCGTCTGTGCCAGAGATTCTCAAGCAGCTGCGGCGCCGAAGCACCAGCAGCTTTCGGGAACCAGTTGCATTTGCCTTGGCGAATATGGGCCAACAAGCCCCCGAAGCAGTCTTGCCCAGCCTGCTGGAGGCATTGCAAGCTTCGGAGTGGTACGTTCGCTGGGTCGCTGCCAGCGCTTGTGGCCTGCTGGGCGAGAAGGCAGCTGCATTTGTGCCAAGGCTACGCCAACTTGCCAAATATGATTCCGAGGAGAAGGTTCGCACAGTGGCTTCGCAAAGCTTGAGCGACATGAGCAAAGTCATCACTCTGCCAATGCCAAATATGGCCGACTGGCAGTTGCAACTTGATGGCACTAGCTCTCAAGCGAGGGCCGATGCTGCGAATGAACTTGGTAAGTGGGGCAAACAGGCTGCAGAGGCCATTCCCAAGCTCACCCAGCTCTTGCAAGACGATCGTGAAGTGGCAGGTGAAATGTGTGTTCGAGATGCTGCAGTCAGAGCCCTTGGACACATCGGCAGTGCGGCGGCATCGTCTGTGCCAGAGATTCTCAAGCAGCTGCGGCGCCGAAGCACCAGCAGCTTTCGGGAACCAGTTGCATTTGCCTTGGCGAGTATGGGCCAACAAGCCCCCGAAGCAGTCTTGCCCAGCGTGCTGGAGGCATTGCAAGCTTCGGAGTGGTACGTTCGCTGGGTCGCTGCCAGCGCTTGTGGCCTGCTGGGCGAGAAGGCAGCTGGATTTGTGCCGCAGCTACGCCAACTTGCCAAGTACGATTCCGAGCCGAAGGTTCGCACTGTGGCGTCGCAGAGCTTGAGCGACATGAGCAAAGTCATGACTCTGCCAATGCCAAATATGACCGACTGGCAGTTGCAACTTGATGGCACTAGCTCTCAAGCGAGGGCCGATGCTGCGAATGAACTTGGTAAGTGGGGCAAACAGGCTGCAGAGGCCATTCCCAAGCTCACCCAGCTATTGCAAGACGATCGTGACGTGGCAGGTGACATGTGTGTTCGAGATGCTGCAGTCAGAGCCCTTGGACACATGGGCAGTGCGGCGGCATCGTCTGTGCCAGAGATTCTCAAGCAGCTGCGGCGCCGAAGCACCAGCAGCTTTCGGGAACCAGTTGCATTTGCCTTAGCAAATATCGGCCAAGAAGCCCCCGAAGCTGTCTTGCCCAGCGTGCTGGAGGCATTGCAAGCTTCGGAGTGGTACGTTCGCTGGGTCGCTGCCAGCGCTTGTGGCCTGCTGGGCGAGAAGGCAGCTGCATTTGTGCCAAGGCTACGCCAACTTGCCAAATATGATTCCGAGGAGAAGGTTCGCACTGTGGCTTCGCAAAGCTTGAGCGACATGAGCAAAGTCATCACTCTGCCAATGCCAAATATGACCGACTGGCAGTTGCAACTTGATGGCACTAGCTCTCAAGCGAGGGCCGATGCTGCGAATGAACTTGGTAAGTGGGGCAAACAGGCTGCAGAGGCCATTCCCAAGCTCACCCAGCTCTTGCAAGACGATCGTGAAGTGGCAGGTGACATGTGTGTTCGAGATGCTGCAGTCAGAGCCCTTGGACACATCGGCAGTGCGGCGGCATCGTCTGTGCCAGAGATTCTCAAGCAGCTGCGGCGCCGAAGCACCAGCAGCTTTCGGGAACCAGTTGCATTTGCCTTGGCGAATATGGGCCAACAAGCCCCCGAAGCAGTCTTGCCCAGCGTGCTGGAGGCATTGCAAGCTTCGGAGTGGTACGTTCGCTGGGTCGCTGCCAGCGCTTGTGGCCTGCTGGGCGAGAAGGCAGCTGCATTTGTGCCATGGCTCCGTCAACTTGCCAAATATGATTCCGAGGAGAAGGTTCGCACTGTGGCTTCGCAAAGCTTGAGCGACATGAGCAAAGTCATCACTCTGCCAACGCCAAATATGACCGACTGGCAGTTGCAACTTGATAGCACTAGCTCTCAAGCGAGGGCCGATGCTGCGAATGAACTTGGTAACTTGGGCAAAGAGGCTGCAGAGGCCATTCCCAAGCTCACCCAGCTCTTGCAAGACGATCGTGAAGTGGCAGGTGACATGTGTGTTCGAGATGCTGCAGTCAGAGCCCTTGGACACATCGGCAGTGCGGCGGCATCGTCTGTGCCAGAGATTCTCAAGCAGCTGCGGCGCCGAAGCACCAGCAGCTTTCGGGAACCAGTTGCATTTGCCTTGGCGAATATGGGCCAACAAGCCCCCGAGGCAGTCTTGCCCAGCGTGCTGGAGGCATTGCAAGCTTCGGAGTGGTACGTTCGCTGGGTCGCTGCCAGCGCTTGTGATATGCTGGGCGAGAAGGCAGCTGCATTTGTGCCGCAGCTACGCCAACTTGCCAAATATGATTCCGAGGAGAAGGTTCGCACAGTGGCTTCGCAAAGCTTGAGCGACATGAGCAAAGTCATCACGCTGCCAACGCCAAATATGACCGACTGGCAGTTGCAACTTGATAGCACTAGCTCTCAAGCGAGGGCCGATGCTGCGAATGAACTTGGTAAGTGGGGCAAACAGGCTGCAGAGGCCATTCCCAAGCTCACCCAGCTCTTGCACGACGATCGTGAAGTGGCAGGTGACATGTGTGTTCGAGATGCTGCAGTCAGAGCCCTTGGACACATCGGCAGTGCGGCGGCATCGTCTGTGCCAGAGATTCTCAAGCAGCTGCGGCGCCGAAGCACCAGCAGCTTTCGGGAACCAGTTGCATTTGCCTTGGCGAATATGGGCCAACAAGCCCCCGAAGCAGTCTTGCCCAGCGTGCTGGAGGCATTGCAAGCTTCGGAGTGGTACGTTCGCTGGGTCGCTGCCAGCGCTTGTGGCCTGCTGGGCGAGAAGGCAGTTGCATTTGTGCCACAGCTACGCCAACTTGCCAAGTACGATTCCGAGCCGAAGGTTCGCACTGTGGCAGAGAAGGCCCTGGACTCAATCGATAAGGCCGGTTTTCCTGCCCTCCCTATCCTCTCCAAGCAAGTGAGCTGAGGCGGCCTAGACTCCGGGGCCGGACTCCTCCTGCAATCCACTCACGCGGTTTCAGATGTCGTGCTGCGTGCGACGATGTAGTCTGGCCTGTGACGTGTCTTCCAGCTTGGGCTGGCATGCACACTGCACCTGACCCTCACAGGTACGTGCAGCGTCCGCGCAGTTATCATGTGGTTTCTGGCGTTGCCCCGACGAATGTGTTGAAAAAAGGGTGTGTTGCTGACCTCCTAGTGTTTGCGCAGTCTTCTAGCATTCTAGCGTGCTATCCCTGTGCTGGGCTTCGCAGCACACCAGGCTCTCACATCTACGTATGCTTCCACAATGTATCTGCAGGCCTGCGCTCCGACCAATGACAGATGAAGCATGGCGCCTCGGCGTGAGTATGAAATGCAGCCTCTAAGCTTGCAGCAACTCTGCCCTTTGTATCATATTGGCACGAAGACGAGGCACGCAGGTGATATGGACGTCGTCAGGAGAGCATCTGAGCCCTCTTTGCAGCTTGGTCTAGTGTTGTAGCGTGGCCCGACACCAGAACGAGCTTGAAAGCTTGCGGCATTCTCACCCGACCCGCATTACACATCCAGCCTTTTTCCCGACCATTTCCGGCACCGGATGAGAAGACTTCTTGAGCAGACATTCGGCAATTCGGCCGTGTTCAATCAGGATGAAGACATTTTGCGACGGAGGTAGGGCTGCAGCTGCGGTGCTGAGCTGCAGGAACACCCTCCACGTCTAGCATGAATCCGCAATGAAAGGGGTCCTACAGGCCTCGCACCTGCTTCTCCCAGTCCAGCCCAGCCGAACCAAACTCTGGCAGGTGTAGCGCGTGGAGGACAAGGCAGTGAGCGCCTCGAGAAGGATGAACTATGCGGATGCTCTCCGTCCCAGGCACAAGGCAACACGATGTCTCGCCGGGATCCTGGCCTCAAAGCTGCGAGCCTTACATGTTTCAGGGATGTGCCTGCTGCTCGTTCGACAGAATCAGCTATTTGCAAGTCAGGCGGAAGGCCAAAGCTTCGGCTCAGTCGCGAAGGCTGCGGCTCAGGATTGAAGGATAAGCGTTTCGGGTATTTAGAATTGATGACGCTCCAAGCCTCGGAAGGACGATGGCGTTATCGACGCGACCGGTGTCGTTATCGATCCAAGGCTGCTGCTATTTGCAAACAGGTTTGGGGTTTGCGCAGTCTGGGAGTCAATGCCTGAATTTGGGGATGGCTTTTCTCCAGGCAGTTTACCGCAGGGGGTGGAAAAGGAATGCCGACGTTGTGCACCGGGGGCCGGGGGTGCGTACATTTGATGTTTGTCAAATGTCGTTGTTTACAGACACATACATGCATACACATACATGTATACATACATACATGCATGCATACATGCACGCAAACGTGCCTACGCAGGTACACTCACACATACTTACATACTTACATACATACGTGCATGCATGCATCCATACATGTGTGTATTCACATGAATGTGGAGCATCGTAGTCAAGGTGTTGCTCAAGTCGACGGCTACACATTTTTAAGCAGGCCAGGACGGAATCCCCTCTCCACAGAGCCAGGTTGGTGCTCAACTGAAGGGCCAGAGCTTCGGCCAGTCGCCAAAGCTGCGACTGAACCGGAAGCCATCATCGGGTCAAGAGTCTAAGCAGAAGAGGATAAGGGTTTAGGATTGAGGGTTGTTAGCTACACGAGTTTAGGACTTAAGTACCAAGGCTTATGGTGCACAATGTTTTCTTCAAGGATGGAGAGTCAAGCTGGCGCCGCATAGAACCTCGGAGCCGCGTCCTGAAAATGCTGATTTGGAAGACTGGGGCGCCCCAGGTCTCTGCTTTAACAAGCGCCGGCAAGCTGCCCTCGCTTGGGAATGATCTGGTTTCGGTGACTAGAACTTGCGATAATTGTTTTGAGTTGTGGTCAGCGATTGCGCCCGGAGAAATGTCCAAGGAAGAAGGATTCCAATGAGAAGCTCCCGCGAAAACGTCCTTTCGAACTTTTGGCCAAGTGCATTGCGAGCCCTTTCGGGCCGAGCCGTTTGTGGAAGCTCAAGCCGCTAGGCCGCTAGCCACCCGAGGGCCTTGCATCAGTAGGTCGCATATATGACATACCCGAGAATTAGAAGGTTCCTGCTTTTTCAAGCTAGCTGCTGCGCATCTTACACACCGACCGTATCTCTGAGCAGGCAAAGCGGAACATAGACAGTATAGACACCCTTCTAGGAAAGGCCTCCGGAGCCCGGCCGCCCTTAGCCAGCCGCCATGGGTGGCGGCAGCAGCCATTTCCTCGGTGTCAGCACACTTGTGCAGTGGACAAGTTTCCTGACGGTTGTACAAGAGCCTTAATCAATGTCTCGGCCCCGGCGAGACAGTCTACCATCGTCTTGTTAGATCTTAGATGCCTTGGGTATACCTATGCAAGCACGCATGTACCCCCTTCTTCCCGAGGGCATGCCGAGATCATGTGAAGCCTTGATAAGAGACAGTTGCGAGGCATCCCGAAGGGGAACCTCGCCCAGCGCGGGGTTTCGGCCGTCGCCGGAGGGATCGACAGCATCACCGGGAGTGAGTCAGGGAGTGGCATCGCCAGCAAGGCAGTGGACAAGCTGGGCATAGGCCGGGCTGGTGCTTGGGTAGAACCAGATGCTTATGGGAACCCTGGCTTCGCTTCTCCTGGTTTCCTTTGCAGTGTCATTCCGAGGTAAGGGAGCTCGGGAAAGTCCCGGTCTTCGCATGCACGTAGCTTCTCGACTCTGTCCAGAGTGCCGTTGGCATATCAAAACCCAGAAAGCCCATACTCCCGAAACCCCAAGCAGCTGGCAGGGAAGCCCAAGACTGGGCCTGCCTGGAGGTTGCAGTCCTGGGATGCCCCGGACCCAGAAACCGGGTGGGAAGGCTCCTATCGTAGCCCGGGCCGCCCTAGCGGGTTGAAGAGGGAGGGGTTGATCAGGGTTTGGAGTTTGGAGCGGATGTTCAGGGTGTCTCGTTCTGGCGAATGAAATTGAAACCTGCCTTTTTTTGGTGGAGGTGAATCGCAAGGCCGCTAGGTTTTGGGGTTCTCTGTTACACGCTTTTGTAGCTGCATGGAGCTCTGACACCAGTGCTGTTGTTAATGGAGTCTGGCTTGAAGTGTGATGTCACTGGTTTCCCCTTTAAATTTGGTGTCATAGTTAACTAACGGTGTCTAATGACAAACGCAAGCGGTTTCCTAGAATAAGCTCCAGAAAGAGTACACGTGCATGTATGTGTGTGTATATATATATACACACACACACATACATGTGTATGTATACCCGCAACATTCGGGTGTCATCATGTAGGGCAGTTGCCCGTCCTGCCTCCTTCTGAGATCCACGCTCGGGACAAATGCGAGCCGTGGCTGGTCGGGAACCTAAGACACAAAAGAACTTGTAGACAATGACCGACGACCATCTCGTAGACGGGCGCGGCCAGGCACCAGTGAAAATGGTTTATGGCTTAAGGATGTGGATGTTCATGGTTTAGGGTTTAGGGATGTTCATGGTTTTTAGGTTTGGGGTGCAGGGTTCGGGTCTCTGAACTGATGGCTTTGGTGACATGAAGCATTCAAGGTAATCCACAGTGTCAATTCCTGCACCATGTCTAGCCCACGGTCTTAGTGAGACCGGCTTGCTCCGGTTGCACAAAGCTGGTGCAGCAAGCATCCCTGAAAATGTGACTTGGGATGTAATTTGTTTTGTCCCCCATTCAGTATTGCTCTTTGGTGGCGTCTTGCATACCCATATGATACCATATGCATAGCTACATACATATACATGTAGATGCATAGCTACATACATGTATAATCAACATGCTGATGAACATGGCGATGATGATCTGTGATCACCGTCATCATCACCGTCGTCATCATCGCAATCCCAATGCATCATCGCCTTGCCACTGAAACGCAGCATCAACAGGTATGATAGTCAGGCGAGTGCGTAGGTTCAGGCTGCGTGATCGTAGGTATAACGGGAACAGCCGCCGTATGGCGTAAGGTTATGGTCGCGTCGGAAGGAGTGAGTTGGAAAGTGTAGCAGTGAACTGGGACCCCTGTGATTGTGAGACCGGCGCCGCTCGAACTGAGATTGGCTATGCCCTTGGGAAGTTTCGAGGCACACGCCTGGTTCCAGCTCTGGGTTCAAGGGTTCAGGGTTTTCGGGTTCCGCGTCTGGCTATGCAAAGGACAGCACACTCGGTGGCTTGAACCGGATTTGAACCTGTCTGACCAGCAAAATGCCATAATGTCCATGGACGCTGGGATCTGTTGAAGGCGCTTATCGCTTTTCCCAGCACTGCTGAGGTTGTTATGGAAACCGTCAAAGGAAGGTAGATATTGTTGCGGAGTGCAGCTCAAGGTTCGTGAGGAAGTGGAAGTTTATCAACACTTGACGAGATATCACCTCGGAAGCGAGTAGCCGCAATCTCAATATTTGGATCCCACCTGGCAGCCAATCGGGCAGAGAAACGCACACACACACACACAGAAAGAAGAAAAGACACTTGCCCTGGAGCTTATTTACTCAAAGAATTCGAAGGCCACGTTATGGTCTGAGATGGTCTGAGCTTGCCGCAGCCATTTGCTGACTCGGCTGTTGGGGTAGAGCCTCGGTCTTCCCTTGCGAAATGGCTTCTTGTTGTCCGCCTGACTCATGGCCGCGTGCTGCAGAGGACGGATACAAGGCGACGGGCGAGCTCAGCACCATCGGTGGGGGCAAACAAGTTCAAATACCGTGTCCATAGTTCAAGTGTTCGAAAGAACACACATAGGTACAGCAGGAATGCCTCCCTTGCTTCGAAGCTCCTGACCGCCAGTCAGGTGATTTGCCAGTGTACATCTCTGGCAAGCCTGGCCCTCGTGCCATTATCGCTTTTCAGGAAGTGTTTGGTCTGAGCTCGAACATCAAGCGGATCTGCGACATCCTGGCTCAGGTGCTTGCTGTTACCAAGCGGACGAAGTAAATGCTACCTAGATGGGGTTCAGGATGCTGTATGTTCGACTGCGATTGTCTGGCTCTTGTAGTCTTGTGAGGCAGGCTTTTTTGTGGTTTTCGTGGACAGCTTTCGTGGCGACACGCTTCCAGAGGATGGTTCTTTCTCTAAGATGACCTTCACGACGGACAAGGCAGCTGACAAACGCTAAGCCTCTAGTCTAAACCCGAAGCCACTAAGCCCTTGAATATATCTGAACATTTCATTACACCCCTCAACTCTAAGTCCTTAAACCTTTGAATCCTCAGGCGGGTCCAGACGTTCCTTACACCGGGCTCGTCCTCAGGGCCCTTGAGAGCTTGATGTGTGGTATTTGGCCGGCCTGTTTGGAAGGAATGCGGATCAGCAACATCCGTCAGGTCTTCACATTCATGAAGAAGCAGCTAAGAGGCATCGGAAGCAGGTCACAGTTATATGCTAAAATACGCTGCAATGAAGCCGGGTATACTACAACAGAATGCGGCGGCTAAAATGTGGTCGAAGGCACTGCGATCCTAGAGCTTGGACGTTTACTGTTGCATTGGAAGCACCAACTGTGCATGATCGCTCAGGTACCCATGGGAAACTTGCATCCGAAAGGACACTGAGATGGTCTTGGCATGGCTGCGTGAGAAAGGCTGCACAAGCGTTGGCGCGATTGGCTTCTGCTGGGGAGTCTGGGCATTTTGCAAAGCATCCTCGGAAGGTCTCCCCTTGAAGGCTGGGGTCGGCCCACACCCCAGCATCCATGTGGAGAACTCTGTATTCAGTGGGAGCGAGATGGGGATGATTGAAAAGGTCCAGATGCCGGTGCTGCTGCTCCCTGCCGGCAACGATCTGCAAACATACAAGCCCGGGGGGAAAGTCGCTACGGCTTTGGAAAAGAAGGGTGGCGCCTGTCACTTGTACCCTGAAATGCGGCATGGCTATGCTGCGCGAGGGAATCTGACACTGCCAGCCGTCAAGAGAGACTTTGACGACTGCATGGAGCGGATGATTGAACATTTTACCAAGCACTTGTAGGGGACACGGGAGCCCCCTGATTTAGAACAGCGACAGCGGGTGTTTTCGGACGAGCGCCGATCGGTAGGTTTAAAATGATACAGAGACTCGTCACCAAAGCAGATAGCGATGGCAGCGAGAAAAGCGCATGTGACGCTGCCTGCGTGCGTATTTTGAAACATCAGCGGTGCTTCTGTCAGACATTTCTTCTGTCTCATGCTACATAGGTCAGTCTTAGGTCAGTCGTCAAAGCCTCGGCACCATGACAAGATCTAATCAGTCTCCGCGTGCCTAAGTTTTACGGCTGCAGGCTCGAAGGATTTGGGGCACCCCTCGGACCGTAATCTGTGCCGTAAAACCTAAAACCCCTTTCATGTGAGCCCTGCAAGAAGCTCCGTGCCAGGTGCCAACCAGGAAGCACAGCGGCTGGTCTTTCGGCTTCTTCCTGGTCCGCCTGGCCCTCGTACTACCGGGGCCTTAATGATCAGAAGAGGGTGTTGGAGGATGTTATAGCGGGTGTGTGTGTATGCATGTGTGTATATATATATATATATGTACTTCTTAGTTTGTTTGTTTACCATACGGAATCCTAAGCAACATTATTGGTAATTCAATTGTTTAGGCTTCTAGATTCTTGATCCGGTATGCCGCTTGGCGGGAAGTGACGTGACTGCATTGTGTTCTCTTGCACTCCTCTGCAGAAGTCCTTCTGCTGCCGAATGTATCAGTCATGCTCAGCGGCTTAGCTCAGCTTTGTGCATGATTCGTTGCTGGGGCTGTCCTGTCTCTGCTGGTGTGGCCCCTGAGCTAATAAAGACACAGAAGTGAAATTTCTACGGCAGGCCTCTTGCGGCCCTACCACTGTTCTGGGGTTGAGAGCTGCTGCAAGGTACTGGAGCCTACTGCAGAGGCCAGGAGACAGCAAGAGAAACCTCACAGCATCATCTCACTTGCTGGATGAAGCAGAGGGTGGTCAGCCTTTAAGACATCAACTCCTCCATCCGGGACAACCCATAAATCGAGCATCTCCGACAGTGATGACAGGCTGGATCAGCTGGCAGAGCCCCTGGCGATACGAACTGCCAAGGGGGAGCGGCCTACGAATGACCCCGGAGTGGTGTTTCTTCTGTGGGAGTTTCGCCTTAAGCTCGCTGAGACAGAGTGGGATGGTCAGGTGGAGTTGGGTCGACTGGTGCAATGTGCAAGCTAGGCACCTGAGAGCTGTGTGCTGACTGCAGATGGGAAAGTATTCCACTCTAGAAAGGGATGCCCTAGACACCCAGAATTCCGTCGAGACTGTCAGCGATGTGGGATTCGAGGACACACGCTCAGCCCCAAACCTCCTGGAGCGACACTCCCTAAGCCCCGAAGAAGGATTTGACTCCATGGACAGCAGCACCGGATCTCCAGAATTGAGAGAGCCGTGTCGCGAGGACGACATACGCAGATTGGCGAATGTCATGTACGAAACTGATCAAATCAAACGTGCCTGAGGCTGAGATCATGTCTGTGAGTGCATCGAAATACATACCCAGTCATTTTCTGAGATTCCTATTATACTTTTCGACGTGTTTCGGCCCTTAGTACAGCCAGTCAGCTAGTCCTTAAATCTTCAATGCGACATCATATGTAAGAAGTCGGGTAAACCTTCGGCCGAGGGCAGCATGTGGGACACCGACATGACGGACCAGGGTGCTCGCATGTGGGGCGAGCTGGCACATGACGAAGCCCTGCGCATAGCCAACTCCTCAGCCAAGAGGTCAGCGTTGTCCGCATAGACTGTGTTTGTTTTTTGTGTTGCTAGGCAGGTCTCTTTCTTCAAAGCAAGTTGTTCACCCTTGATATTGTGCTTGGCTATCGAAGTGGCAGTGTTGTTCGTGCTGGCAGCATGGCTGTAAAATAATGGCGCTTCTCCTATCGCAGTCATGTTCGACAAGACAAGCTACGGGTCACAGGAGCTCCGTCATCGTCGGGCCTGCAGAGATACAAGTCATCTCTGAGGGCTACAGATATCATGTCTCTGAGTGTTCGCCGTGATGGCAGTGTTGATGCTCTCAGCACTGGTCTGATCGCGATGATGGTTGTTACGTTTACTTTCAGCATTGGGCAGTTATTGCTATTAAGTGTTGTTCCATGTAGCTCCCATCCGTGGTGTTGGGGTGTGCAGCTGTTGCTGGTAGTGACAGCGTTGATGACAGCGATGATGCGGCTGATGCTGCTGATGATGATGATCAAAGATGACGATGAGAGTGATGCAAAGCGTGTGGGCGAGTTTGCATGCTTCCGGTAGTAGTAGACTTGTTTGGCTTTTTCTAAGTGTGTTATCGTTCCGTAGCTTGTACCAGAATGCTCGAGTGGGCACGGCTTCGACTTTGGATGACAGTCTGAGTGGTTTGAGCTGGCGGGATGACGTCCGCGGCTTCTGTCTTCGGCAGCAACAATGGACGCTCATGCAAGCTCTCAATACTTGCCGTCAGTAGCCAGAGCTGATAGGAGACGGAACGGAACTTCTTAGTGGCAATGGTCCTCGTCGTCATCGCGGCAGCTACTAGTTCAACAGGTGAGCGTCCCCTGATCATGCTACAGGCTGGCATGGTTAAGTACTTAGAGGCCAAAGCTCCGAAACTAGAAGACACAGCATCTTTTAGGACGTCCAGCGGCCGAAACCATTGGAGACCCCTTCATGACTGTACGGGATAGTGTGACATTCAGAGTCTCATCGCGGAATCACATCAAGCCTTGATCAAGCTGTGGCCGTCAGGCGCATGCCATCCGCCGCGTGCAATCGTTCGGGCGCTTTCTTTTCTCAGATTCTTTGCTGAAGAGGGGACCGACTTTGGGGCTGCTTTCCCGTCTTTGGCAATCGAACTTAGGGTCCCATCGCCATGCAGAGCATGGCTACTGAGTTGCTTTTTGCTGCGAAATTATCGCTGTTGTCAGCAGCTGAATAAAGGAATTTAGGATTTTGTGGCAGGGCGAAGCTGCATAGCGCTCAAGGCATTCCCGGCTTCTTGCTGAGTGGAAGACTCGCTGGTTCCGGTGTGGGAGTTTCCGAAATTAGGGGTACCTAATCTTGGGATCTTTAAAACCAGGATCCTACTATTTAGGGTAGTATATTAGGGTCCCCTATTTTTGGAAACTCCCATGTAGGAATTGCTTTGGCAGTACCAGTCAGGTCCCTGCAAACCCGAGACCCGAGCAAAGGGTTTCCGAAGCTTCTAATGCGATGATATAGGGCATTAAGAATTAGAATAGGGTTTTTTTGGGGACCATTGTACTATAATACTATAGTTATGATAAGGAACCTCCAAGATAGTATAGGTAACTAATAATATGGCCCCTATGTTGTATCCCTTATCTCCCCTTGCCCTTTCTCTCTATCGCCGTCTCTCTCTCCCTCCACCGACCCGACCTTGCAAGAAACCGGTTTGTGTCAAGGTTACCGAAGGCTTTGAGATTCGGCTTCATGAGTTCCAGGTTCTCAGAAGCGGGGGCAATTTTCTATTCATGGATTGCAGTTTCGGCCTTGGGTTGGTTTGGCAGCTCGCAAAGTCCCCGTGGCTCTGCTCAGCTTGAAGCTGAAGCTGAGCCTCTATTCTCCTTCTAGCAAGTCTCGCACTCTTGGAATCCGAAGCCTCGCATGAAACTCCGAGCCCAAAGTTCTAGATTCTAGACTCTAGAAACCAAAAGGCTCTGGGGGTGCAGGCTGTGCACTCTTAGGGGAAGGCTTCCCTTAAGGCACTATGGTTTAAATCTCAGCCCCGGAGGAAACCACCGCTCAGGTGTCTTTCCCGTGTGCGCCGACAGAGGCGGTCTGCAGAAGTTGCACTCAAGACGGAGGATGTTCGAAACGATCTTTACTAAAAGGGTTACTATTCGTGGTGCTGCAACGGATACTACACGGGATGCCATAATATGTTACTATATGACGATGAGGGTGGAGAGGGCAGTCGAAGCGCATTCAGATTTCTACGACTGTAACTGCATGCGAAGAGTTCCACGATGTCTCTCCTTGGAAGGTCCTCAGGAACCTGATAGTACACAAGGCTCAGGCATGCAATCTGTTACAATGGATGGGATACATTGCGAATCAGACAAAGCTTTAAAACAAGTCTCTAGACGAAACAGCACCAGTAGGGCATTTTCAACCTTGCATAGACGGTGGCATGTCAACCCTCACCCCCAGCCACCTCCTCCACATGTGCCAGGGGGCATACGATGTACCGCCCGCCAAGAGCGTCGCGGACTACTTCTAAAATCTCGTGTATCAGGATCGGTCTTGTGGGTGCATTGGTTTGTCAGCTTTCGATGCTGCCACTGCTTGCACTCGTCTGGTCACCTCTGAAAGTTTCGCGACAGGCCGAGCTCGCCAGCATGGAGTGACAGCGCTGTCACTGAGTCTAAGCAAGATGCCTGCCGGCCCGAGATCCCTGAGCTGGAATACAGCATTCGAGCAAAGACCCCGGACCGCTAAGAAATTATGCCTCAACCCTGCACATCTTTAGCCCACAGATCTCTCTGACTGAACTTCGGGAAGCAACAGTTTGAGTTGCGGGCTGTTGAGTTTACAGGTTTAGGATTCCGCTATGATCAGTAAGCCACTTTTGGTTCGTGAAGTCCTATCTAGCCACTGCATTCAAACGTCTTCGCTGTGGGCGGTTACAGAAGTGGCAAGCACCACCCCTCGCCCGAAACCGAACTCAACAACACTCCAAGGTTAATGACATGTGCTGACAGAGCAGCATCCCGCTGTGCAGCATTGCGCAGCACTGCAAGGGATTTTGAGAACATGTTTCGCGGAGCAGGCGTGAAGGCGGTACATGTAACAAATGAATTAGCAGCAGCAGCAGCAGCAGTAGTACTGTAGCAGTCGTCATAGTAGTAACGGGAGTAGCAGAATAGTAGAAGAAATCGAAGTCGGACGGAGACATTTGGGTTGAGCTTGCCCGCTCCAGCGGAGTGTCCGAATATCCCTCGGCGGCGGCCTAGGGTCGAAGCCGATAGCCTGATGCGTGAATTGCGCAACGGGTTGAAAAGTTGTGCCTGCGGGAGGTTTGGATTGCAGTGCCGCTGTAGCTGTTACGAGTTCCCTGACGTTTGCGGAAGCAGCCCGACTTCGTTTGCTGAGCACAACATGTCATCATCATTAGTTTTGCTTTGTATTGAGTTTTGCTTTGTGCAGGTGTCAAAGAAGCTTCCTTACAGCTTGTTTTTCTGCGCGAGCCGCTTGATGCTTCGGTCGGTGGGCCTGATTTACTAAAGCACTAGCAGCCAGCTGCATGTTGCGGCCATCAGCTGATTGCATATATGGGCCCATCCAATGAATACCTCATGAGACCCTCAGCACCCCACGAACCGAACCTGCACCGTTCAGAATTCAGCTCCACCTGGTCATATGGGAGTTTTGGGGTCCTTAGAATAAGGATCCTGTTCTTCCGGGTACTGTATCAGGGTCCTCCATTTTCGGAAACTCCCATATTTAGGAGGCAAGTCTGGTACTCCAGCCCCCACGGCCCCCCCACAGCCCCCATCGCGGCCAAAAAAAGGGGCGAGGAGGAGGCTGGGGCTTTGCTTTGGGACCCACTGGGCCAACTCCGGTGGACTGCTGGGTCCCAGATCCGCTTCGTGCATGGGGTACCACGTAATGCCCTATTTTTTTCGCCGGTTGCTGTCAGATCGATTAGGAGGCTTTTTGCCGCAGTGTCTCCCTATCCCCCGTGTGAGAGAAGGATTTATTTATTTCATAAGGCTCTGTGTCTGTGACGACGCGCCTCTTGCACGGAACAAATTCTGGAGGTGAAACGGTTGGCGGCCTGGAGAGAAGGATAACCAGCATGATACCTTTGGTTCCATCCACATGGTTCTGCCGGCTTTTTGAATGCCGCCCTGTCAGGTCGACCCCCTCAGATGTCGCGGATCAAAGCCTTGTTCTCCAAGTAGCATCCTCGGCAGTCGAAAGTGATGAACTGCGGTTTTCGGGCTCACTGTAGCTATAAGGGCCGTAAGGCTTCCATTCTGACTTGCAGGAGGGGCGTAGTATGTGGGGCCCTTGCAGCCCTCCTGCGGTGCCCCAAACGCAAAGGTCTGTGTGTATGTGTGCTTGGCCGAGCGACCTGTATAAACTCAAGGTGGCCTCATAAAGCTGGAGGGACTCGTAGAAGGGTTTACAGAGGTTAGGGATTTGGTGGGGGATTTAGTAGGAGTCCAGGGCTTAGAAGACCATCCAGGTGTGCAGGCTTCTCCGGCGGCCTCATCAGTGGCAATGCGGAGCTCCCGCAGCTTCTCATCCTCGGTCTCGACAAAGCTGGGAAGACAACTCTTCTTTACAGGTGCGGGCAGTTGGGGGTCGTAGCTCACCGTAGCTTGCCTTCTTTTGGCGTTGACTCCCTGGTTTTGTTTGTTTTGCATCCAAGTTGAGGATTGCTCCTAGGATCGTCGTTGGAATGGGCTGAGCAGGGGTCTTTGGATTGAGATTGTGGATTGGAAAGCCTGGGGCGGAGGGTGATGCTGTCATGCAGCTAAAGAGAACTTGTTCTGGCTCGGTTTAGGGCTTCGGTGGCTATCCCAATTACTGGTTCTGGACTCCCCAAACATACTTTGGAGTCGCGCTAACCATTGGTTGCAGGCTCTTCTGTCGGAGGCTTTGCTTTCAAAGTCTTATATCGCTTGGGCTCAGGCTTCGCGGCTTCAGACAATAAGTTGCTTACACCCAAAGCATTTCAACAGTGCAGCGATGGTAGGCTTCGGTAAACGTTGCACAAGCAGGAAGTTTGGGAAAGTAAGCAGCCGACCCCGATGTTGGCAGTAAATTATGGAGCCCCGCAACAAGCAGGCGCTCCACAAATAATCCCTCCTCGCAAGAACCCCATACCAAGCACCACTGCAAGGCTGAAGATCGGATCGGGTTGGGGCGACATCGTTGAAGATATGAAGAAGTGACGGCCTCGGTTGCGACAGCTCTCGATCCGAACACGCGGCGTGCCGCTGGCTCTTGCCTGCCCCTGTTCGTGGCTCCGTGTCGCGCGTCTGTACAGTAGCCACAGCGGACGAGAGCTATATGCCACATTAGGGAATCGACCCCTTCTAGACTGAACGACAATTTAGCGAAAGCAGTTGAACTTATCAAGCAGATCTGAATTCCTGAGAAATGGTCGTCTGAGTTTTGCTCGCACGATTTGCGCTCTGGCTCTGCAGTATGATGACCAAGAGCACAAGTCGTCCACGTAGCAGGTCAATTTCAAGCATCCCTTGCCTCGTCTTGCCATGTACGGGGAAAGCACCATACCATACGACAGCCGCAGTCAAAATGCCCGACCTCCTTCCTGCCTCTCCCGGCCCTCCATCCCTACCCTCACCAGGTTTGTCGAAAGAAAGGAGGCTGAACCAGCTCCCTAGTCGAAAAAACGGCGCTCCAGGATGAGGACGCCGGATGCCGATGGCAAGGTCGAGGATCCCGGATACCACTATGAGGCGCCTCCTGGAATCCAAAGAATTCGGTTTGGTACTTACAGCTGTATCGTTATCTACTATTACAATATACTGTATATTGTTATAGTAGATAACTAACTATAACTGTATAAGTAGACAGTAAGGAGCCCAAAAGTATCATGAATTGGGGCCTTGCAGTAATTGATAGCTGTTTAGGACTGCATGCATCGCCATGGCAAGTCTCAGAAGTCTTGCGGCCTAAAGCGGTCTTCGGGATGAAGTACCAAGAATCGGCTCCCCGAAACTCCACGCAACACCAGAAATCACCCTCCATGGATGTCGACGTCGTCCAAGTTCTTGCAGAAATCCCTATCCTCGCTTTAAAGACCCCAGAACCTCAGGCCCGGAGCCTCAAGCCTACACCTAGTCGTAGGCGTTTATAAGGTTTACGGTTTTGGTTTAGGGTTTAGAGTTCAGGGTTTAGGGTTTATATATGATTCTTGAGCACCACAGCAGGAGCTCAACCGCTCCTTCGCCTGCGGAGTCTGGGAAGTGCCCGGGACAGAAGCGATGAGGCTTGGCCAGCGTTTTTCACGACTTTCAATCCGATTGTTAGTAATCGAATGAGCATTTTACCCTGCAATCTATTAGTGGAATAGAACGGACTCTAATAGAAATAAAATAGGATAGCACATAATTCGGTGACGCTTTTTTGTGAGGTCCAACTAAGATTGTCCGCATGTTCACAAACCGCAGTTTCACCGTTGTAAATAAACTTGAGGGCTCGGGACGACAAAGGTATTTTGGAGTATCTGTTTAGATGTTGCACAATCCGCATGTTTAAACATCGTCACCGTATGCTATCTGATATCATATTCTGCTTTAATATGCTATATGCTATACTACTATACTATATTGAGGTGTATGATGGGATTCTTGCTTCAGTCACATAGATCATTCGTGCCCACGTCAAAACAGCCGCCCGCTTTCCGATCCCTTACCGCCCTTACCTCCCATCACATCATCGAGGCTGTGCTCAAGCATGTCCTGGACAACCCCGCTTGTGAAGCAGCTAAGTAGCGTTGCTTAGTAAGGCTTGTCCTTCGGAGGCCGGTCTGGAAGCTCTTCTACCAGTCCATCAAGATCCACTGCGTGGTCTTCGTGGTCGACGCCAACGACAGCGAGCAGAGGTGCACCCACACACACACACACACACACACACACACACACACACACACACACACACACACACACACACACACACACACACACACACGCACGCACACGCGCGCGCGCGGCGCGAGCTTCATGTACAACTCCTCAAACTCTCCCGGCCTAATATATTATGCTAAGTATGTTACCTGCAATTCTATAGCACAGCCGTAGGCAAGCCGAGGTCGGATCTCCTTGGTTTGAGCAACCTTGTTCCCTCGAAGGATTAACATGGCGAAGAGACACTTGCACGTCTTGATGAACGAGGACGGCCGAAGGGTACCGCGGGACCTCATCTTGGGTGCGGAAGGAAGAAAGGTTCAAACCAAGCTGTCGGAGGATTGCTTGTTTCTGTTAGTAGTTGGGATGTTTAGGCGCAGCAACTAGTACGTGTCTTTGTTGTTGTTTCCTGCGCTGTGGTGCCTAGTTTGGTATTTCCATCTGTAGCGACTTTTTCGTCGTCTAATACTCACGTCCGAATGCCTGATCATCGTGACAGCAGCAGCAGCAGCAGCAACGGAGAAGTCGCGGACGGTAGGAAATAGTAGCGGAAGTGGAAGTGGAGGAGACATAGTAGCTGATCAGCCAGTAGCAGTGTAAGCTCAGGAGTAGCCAAAGGGGAGCAGGACAAGGAACAGCCACAGCAGCAACCATGAACGGCATTGGCAGCCTGATTACTTTCAGCAGTGTAGGCCTATGAAGGCATAACCCCGTCAGACCCGAGCTTCGAAGCAGGCCGAGCTTCGCAATGCCTGCTTCTGTGCCAGCGCCTGACGAAGAGGTGTCCATAAACCCTTAGCTCGAACATGTCTCGCTGTATGACGTCGCACTGTACAAGAAGTGAGGGCGGCTGTCCATAAACGAAAGTCGAGGTACATTGACGGCTTGTGGATTTCATATCTCCCGCCCTTAAGGGCCTGCTTGAGAATGCCATGCCTCACCCACTTCTGCCCAAGGTCATCATCAACCAGAGGGTGGACGCTTCTGGAAACCTTGTGCGAGCCTCGGGCAGTTTTGAAGTGCAAGAGAGAAAAGAGGGCCAGCAGCAGTCGGGTTTGCATAGGTGCGCGCCTGGCTTCCTGATATTACAGCTGCAGTTGGCATTAGCATTTTGAAGATATGTCCTCTCCAGACCGCTCCGTCCCAATTGCCAAAGGAAAAAAGAATCCAAGCACTGTGCGAGCGCTTTCGCCAACCCGAGGTCTACGATGACAAGGAGGACGTGCTCAAATACAAGCTCCTCGGCAGTCCCGGCCACCCTTTTGTTGCTCAGTACTATCAAGCCCCAACCCTAGCAAACAGAAGCAACCTGGTAGAATCTGACGATTACAGACTGCAATGGCAGAAACTGCTCGTCCGGCAGCTCCCATAGCAGAGCCATGGCTACTGCAGTGAGTGTAGTCGTGCTATCACAAGGCTCGGCCTGCATGATCTCCACCCCTCCGTCGATTGGAGAACCAGGCGCCAACCGGCAAAGGGCTACGGGCACTTCAGAGAAAAGGGCTTTCACGGGTCTTGGTCCAAGTGCAAGAATTTCTGGAGACTTTCGTTGGGCACTATTCTTGCAACATCAAGGAAGAGGAGCGCAGAAGTCCAAGGATGTCAGGTGTAGGGGGCCATAACATCTTCACTTGCAACTAAGACAGGTAAGCTCAGGAGTGAAGGGTGGGTCTCCAATCGTCCAGGCACTTCGTCATCAACATCCTCGACCTCAAGGGCGAGTGCGCTGCTGAAGGGTTGCATGGGATGGACTGCATGCATGATGAATATATTACACATATATATATGTATACACATATATATATATATATATATATATATATATAGATATGTACGTATGTGTACATATATATATGTATGTATGTATGTATGTATGTATGTATGTATGTAGTGTGCGATCAGAACCCGCAAGCTTCAATGGCATATGGGATAGAACCAGTTCAAGCAACAGATCCCAAAGCCAACGACTCACAAGCCACGGACAGGTCCGACAAGGAGTGGCTGAACGTCATGAGCTTCACCAAGGAGAATGGCTCACTTCGATTTTCCTGGACTTTGGATTCGGGCGGGTGGAATGCTTAGATAGGCAAGGGTTTAGGGAAGTTTAGATAGGGTGCAAGCACCAGTAAATCGGTGGTCGTGTATTTTTTGTGGATGAGTCTGAATACGTATCATTTTTTCTGTACACATACACATATACATATATATATATGTATATATATATATACATACACACACACACACGTTCTAGCTGCGCCTTTGCTTCTTCCACGTAACTTAAGTACACGCGTACTCACAAGTGGGTGCGCTCACATGAGTAGAAGTTCAGTGCATGTTTATGTGCTTGCGCAACGTAAGTGTGCAGTTCACTGGTTGGTTTAGGGTTTAGGGGTTTAGAGTTCAGTCTTCATGCGTGTGCGTGCGTAGTCTCGGTACGACCCCGCTACGTCAGGAAGTCCTCTCCGACAGCAAGGGCTTCGGCCTCAAGGTGTGAGAGGCCTTGGAAGCCTACTGACCGCTCTCTGGGAGCTTGGTTATGTACACAAATATTGCATACAAACATACATACATACATACATATATATATATAAAGTACATAACATATGAAGAGGGCCATGTAGATGTGTGTGTACCATACATACATGCATATATGTACGTGTATATGTGTATGTGTATGTATATGTTTATGTGTATGTATCTGAATATGTACGTATATATATATATATACACACATACTTTTTGTATATGTATATGTACATAAAGTATATGTGTCTCTATGTATGAACGGTTTCTGTCAGGTTTGCATTGTTGTCGAGCAGGGTTTTCTGGGCTCAGCTTGAATAGAATTTGTTCCGGGCTTCAGGATTTCGGTGATCTTGGAGCTTGGGGTACTTAAGGTCGATCCTGGAACCTACGACTAAGAATCCTACGATTTATGCGTGTATTTGGAGTCGCATGAGTTGAGGGATCTAGGTTTAGCTTAAACCTTAAGCCCATGAAAACTAAATCTGCAGGGTTTGGAACGGATGTCTTGTTGGAGAGTTTAGGGCTTCGTCTCTGCAAACAGCACTCTGCAAGAGTCAGAGTTCTTAGATCCGTGTCGTTTCACTTTAGTGGCAGGCCTCACCCCCGTTCACTCAACCCACTCGACTCCCACGTGAGCTGAAAATGCATCAAGGAGTAGCCAGACAGATTAAGAAGGAAGCAAGTGTCGGTGTATATGTATACGTAATAGTACAAATATAGATATCTATATATATATATATATATATGTATATATGTACATGCAAGCAATAACCACTGGCTGTTGAAAATATCTGTCCAACCATGTAGAGCCAGACTCTCACTCACTCATTGCCTCTGAGTTGGGTGGCCCGACGCTCTTCTAGAAAGCTTTAGGCCTGCAAAGAGAGCCAGGCGGCCGAAATGAGGCTCCCTGGATGTCAGGCGGACAAAGGAAAAAACCGCGCGAAATTGTGAAGCGTTTCCGCTAGGATCTGCAGAGTCTGAGCCGGGGAATGAATTTTGTACAGGGGTTCAGGCAACACCCAAGTCCATCTTCATGGCCAGACATCTCGGGAGATTAGCCTCTACATCCTTCTGAAAGAAGCAATAGTTTGAACAGGGTTTTGGGTTACACTATGATGGAATAAGTGCCCAGACGGGTCTAGGGACTGTAGAGGGGATACTCTGAGGGCGGCTGTCCTGCAAGCGCTTTCACGTGCCGAGACCCAAACTCGAGCCTCTCATCCGAGTTGCAGGTAAAGCCCAAGACCCTATACCTTAAGCCAGTAACCTGTTGCCTTCAGCACCATGACTGCTGGTCCAGCACTTCGAGTCCAGCTTGAAATTGCCGGGCAACATACGAGAAGTATCAGTCAAGAAAAGGTCTTGGGCCCGTCATGATTCGTTTTGACTACCCCTGATATTGTCGATGTACGTATATGCATACGCGCATGCATGTATAAATGCATACATATGTATACATCTATCTATCTATCTATCTATCAGACTATCATTCTGCCTATCTATGTGTCTGTATCTCTATATGCATGTATGTACGTACGTATGTATGTATGTACGTATGTATGTGTGCATGTCTGTCTGCCTGCCTGCCTGCCTGCCTGCCTGCCTGCCTGCCTGTCTGTCTGTCTGTCTGTCTGTCTGTGTGTCTGTCTGTCTGTATGCATGTATGTATGTGACTTGGTTAACCAGTATGTACCTATATATATATACATATGTATACATGTAGATGTATACATGCATAAAGGTACATGTATGTAGGCGCCCGAAATCTTTGTTTGATCTTTCAGGCCACGATCGTAGGGTCTTCCACCCACCGCCGCACTGGCTCCACCCAGTTTCTAAACTCGCGGAGACTTGCGACATGTAGAAGCCAAACCCACCTCAACTCCGCAGTGACCAACATGGAGTTCCTGGTTGAAGAGGAATCGGGGGGGGACCCCCCAAACTAAACCAACAAGAACGCAAGCCACAGTTCGATTCTCTTAAATTCTCTTACCTTGCAACCTGTAGCTTGCAACTGCCATGGTGCGTGCTGCCTCACATCAGATACTGCGGCGAGCGCAGACGCCACGGGAGGTGGAATCGAACGTCGGAGTACATGTCAGATTGCGCGAGACACTCCCGTAAACCTCTGGGCTCCCAAACCCTAAACTGCCATCCAAAGACTCATGTTCTTATTTTGCTACCCGAACATCTCTCCTGGGGACCTTGCCACGGCAGAGGGCTTTAGTCTCGTAGCTCACCAAGACACAATGAGATTGGGTTTGGTTGATGTAGCGATTCCACTTAGACTTCCATTCTCTGATACGGCTCCAATCAATCCCTGCTGGAGCTCAGGGCGCCTTAACCCAAACCCCGAAACCCAAGCTGCTAGGATGACCTGCGGCCACAGTCCTCGCAAGCGTCGTCGCGCCCAGTGCAGCCATTTCGCTCGAGCTCTCCGCACACGGAGCAGCTCGTTTGAGAGTTTGGGGCGGGTTTACAGGGTTTGGGGTTGATGTGCAGGGTTTCAGGACAAACTGGGGACTTCCTAGCGGCATCCGGCGCTGATGTTTAACGTGGCTCCTACTTGATTAAAATTAAAACATAAAATGCAAAATGGTTCACTAATCAATCATATCAGTGATCAGATCATTGACTAATCAGTCACTCAGTCAGGCAATCAATCAGCCAACCAACCAACCAATTATTCAATCAATCAATCATTCAACCAACCAAGTATTAATTGGGTACTTAGTGAATGATGAGATTGGTTAATCAAGTAACTAGTCAATGAATGTATTCAGAAATTAATTGCTGAGGCAACTAACTTCAGCAATTAAACCCTGAACCATAACCTGGGCTCGGAAAGAAGTTGGAACCCGACCCCTCTTTCCCAGCTCGAGCTGGCCTTCTGGCAATAGAATGTACTATATATTGTATATGATACTGCATATTGTCGTTTACGACTTATTGCATTATTATCACTTTAAGAGAGGTGGCAGAGCCGCATCCTGGAAGAGCTCACAAAGACTTCGAAGCGCGGCAGAGCTCTCCCGACGCCCCGCTACAAGCGGCCTGGGCTCGCTTGTGTGTGTGTGTGTGTGTGTGTGTGTGTGTGTGCGCCTCTTCGGGTTTAGAGTTTTAGGGTTCGGGGTTTAGGGATGAGGGGAGGGATGGCGAGGGTTTTGAGATGGAGGTCAACCTTTAAAGGGGATGAGGAAGGAATCATTTTGCCGACTATTTGGACTCCCGATGCCAGGATGTTCATGGCATTTGCAGGATGTCGTTTCAGCTTATGTCTTGTACTTGGTCATCTCTAGTTGCACCGCACAGAAAGGTACAATTTGTCATCGTGTGTTGCGCCATAGGCATGTCCAATCTTGTTTTCCCGGCTTCTGAGATGTCCCGATTTGTTGAACATGCATTAAAGGATCACGACTTGGTCTTCTTCCCTCTTGTCGAATCGTTATTCTCTGTCTGATGTAGCATCTCCTCTCAACTCCTCTCAGCCCTGCCTCACCTTCTCTTTTGATATCTCGCCTTGTCCTGTCCTCTCCGAGCCCTTCCCCGCCAATGACAGAAAAGTGCCATGATGCCAACGTCTCAAGGCGTAATCCACAAACCCTGAGGCTTTAAACTGAAATCAGACTCTCAACCCAGTCAACCCACTAAAGACCAAAGCTCAAGCAATCCCCCTCAAAGCCTAAACGCCTTGAGGCTCTAAGCAATTGAAGGCGTGAAACTGAAACCAGCCGTTCAGCCGGTTGCAGTGTCGCGGCGTCGCAAACTGTGAACCAGCAGCCCTGAACCCCTAAACCGTGCGCCCCTTTCAATCCCCACAATAACCCATAGTTCTCTTAAAACAACGCCCTTTCAGAAAGCCTGGAGTAGCCTTTGTGATCCTAGTAACACCATACTAACCCAGAGTCGCCGCAGCAAGAATGGTGCCAGAAAACTGATCAGAATATGTTTAAAAGAAGACTCTCCAAAGGGTGTTACAACGAAGAACTGCTGTAGCCTAAGTCAACCTTAAACCCGAAGCCCCAGGTTAAACTTATGCCTCCTCTTACGGTTGAGGATTCAGGGTTTAGGCGTTCAAACTTCCAGAATGCAGGAAGGAACCGGAGCTCTCGCCCTTGAACTTGTCTTGCGAGGCCAGGGTAGGGGTTTGAGGGTTTTCAGGTCTGGCTTTGGGACTTGCATGAAAGGGAAGGGGCGGGGTGGCGTGATCAGATTCTGATTCCTAGGCACAGGGGATCCGAAGTTCAGCCAGCCCTTGGCCCCTAGTCCGAGGTTCGAGATCGAAATCGCGGAAGGATTGAAGGATTCACAAACACAGCTCACGCCAGGTTTCCCAACCCAACCTTCCTCAAATATTTACATACTTCATGAGGACTCATAGACATGTGTCGGGCTTTCATTTTAGGGCGAATGCAGGGGAGATGTTGAATGGGGAGCCATATGCCAGCTTGAGCCGAGGTCTGCAGCACAGCTTCTTGGCTTGCAGTGCAGGCTTCGCATTCGATTCCGAGGGGAGTTTCGAATTTCGGACGGTGCATCAGGCTTCGAGGCTTCAGATGTTAGCTTCCCGCACTTTTGCTTAGCTTTCGGGCTATCTGCCCGGAAAGCTTAACTCGAAAAGCGGAGCTGCAGTACTTCAACAACTGTGTGCATGCCAAGGGCTATAGTGCACAGAAGGATCCCAGAGCCCCTCTTTTGCGACGTCGCCAGATAGGTTTTCGAGATTGTGCACATAGAGTTACTGAATCATTGCTGACGGTCTGCTTCTGTTTCCCCTACCCAGGACTGCTCCGACGGCAAGCTGCTGCCTGAGGAGGAGTCACCGCAGGCGCCCGGGACGGTGTTCGAAGGATCAGCGAGTTCTGTCAGTGGGCTAGGATTTGAGCTACATAAAGGATATCCGATAGCCCTTGATGCCTCCGAGCCGCATTTATACCTAGCTACGAAGTTCGCCCTATGGCCAACGCTTCTGGGTTTTGGAGATGTTTATGGGGTTGTTGGCTTGCTGTTCAGTACGGCATGGGCAAAAACATTGTGCATCCGAACACGTCGCTCGCCACCCGAACTCATTCAACAACACGAGCTGCACATGACACCATCCCAGTCTTTCTTCTTTGCCTTGCCGGGAACCAAATGCCAAAATTCTAAGCACAGGCACATCGAGTGCTTCGCAAAGTGACCATCGAGTGCCTCCATACCACGACCAGCACGGGTCTTGAGGTACCGCCTCCAACCAGGCTTACTGCAGTTGCAAGGCATTCTTGGTCCGCCTTCGCCAGACAGGTCGAGTGGCTCAATTAAGCGCCGCCCACGCCTACGCATCAAAGCCAGCATGGCTTTGCAAGCCCGAAGAGAAAGGCAGTCCGAGGCTCCAAGCCCGAGAAGCAGATACAAATCCGAGGCCGTCTTACCTTTCAAGCCCTGAAGCTCCAAACCCATGGCCATGTAAGACCCCCCTTGCCCCCAAGGTCGAACTGCAAATTTCCTGTCCAAATCCCCCGAAGCCCCACGGAGCCAGCGAGATCCCTTGGTACAGGAGCTCAAACGGCCGCCTCAGAATGATGTGAAGCTGACCCGCTCCACCTCGGAGTTGGCGCAGTGGCTGCCTGACATCACAGAGGCTCGGTGCAGCTCGGGGCATAGGCCTAGGGCCCATGAGGGTTCAGGGCTTGGGGCACCCAACCTCCCAGCACAAAGCCCCAAAGCCCCTCCTCACAAGGGTTTAAGCAAATACGCCTCGATGAGTGTGAAATGGTCGTTCCTGGCTCAAGACTCCGATCCGCAGCAAACATGGAACCGCCAAGCTCGGCAGGACCAAGGCATAAGGCTTCGAGATTCGGCTTGCAGACTGACGGCTTTGTCCAAAATCATGATCCGAAGCCGAAGCGCCAGGCTTCAAAGCCTGGCTGAAGGTGGCAATGGTGGTGGTTGTGGTCACGCCAACTGCAACGGGAGCAATTGCACCAACACGACCAGCACTGTTGCAAGCAACAGCAAGTATCTGGATGGTCCGGAACACGTGCTAGAAGGAGAAATGCGACTGAGACGCCTTGGCCAAGTAGGAACAGCAGTAATCTGCGGAATGATGAACTTAATGGACTTTGGTTTTTCACTTGACAGACGATACATCGGGATGTGCTGCAGAATTCATGCAACATCCGCATAGACAGGTGCAGTAGTTGTTTGTCAACTCTTCTTGCTTTGATCGTTCATTCTGTGGTTCTAGAGCTTCTGTTGGTTGTGGTTCACGGGGCGGCCGTCGTCGGCGACCTGCCGCCGTCGTGGTTATTGTAGAGTCGCACAAGAAGGAGGCAGGGCAGGCGGAGCCCTGTCGTGACTGCTTTTTTTCCAGGGAGGGCTTGGCGAATACAGCAAGGTCTGCACCTTCCTCTTTTTTTAGCGTCCCTTAAAATCCTCTTCTTCTTTTGTGAGACGTCATGAAAGGCCTATACTACTCGCCAGGTCATCTCTCGGTTGAGGGCGGGCGCGGATGGCTTCTCTTCCACAGAGATGCCTGGCATCAGAAGGGATCCGAAGAGCACTTGGCGAGGGAGCTATAGGCAGACGTTTTGGGATCAGTGGCTGAAGGGTTTTCGCGTGCGAATTGAGGAAAATCCGGAGTGTTGGGACTGGCAATGACCACCACAATGACAATGACCACATGAGCCTGTTTAGATATGTTCGCGATTGGACATGTGCAAACAGAAGCCCAGACACCCATTGCAAATGACAAGCCCCTCACGAGCCGTCGCCACTTCGTCATTATCATTACCATCATCATCACCATCATCATCACCAGCGTCATCAGCATCATCATCATCATCATTATCGTCGACGTCAAGATGACGATCGTTGTTGCTATAATCCAACACCGGCATCATCGCCACCCCCACAACTATTACAAATACCCCACACATGCAGCATCGTCACATCACGATCATCTTGACCAACAGCGGAAGGGCAATCATCACCACCCTTTGCACCGCCAGCAATCTTGTTGCTGCTACCTGTGATTGCTAGTTGTTGCTGTTGCTGCTGCGGCTTCTGCTGGAGGTGGTGTGATGTTATTGGTGACAGTGTTGAAGTTGTTTCCTTCCGGATGCCATTCCGTTCAGTAAGTGGCTGCACAGAAAGGTCTGTAGCAAGGAAGACTGCCGTCAGAGTCGGTTCCTGACTTAGTCGTATGATGGTTCTCTCCTTGGCAACATTCTCTGGAAAAGCCTCAACGGCTTATGCAAATCCCAAAGTCGCAAGCCCCAAGTCTTCCAGCCTAGTATGCCTAATATAGGCCCGAAACCCAAGAACCTACAGGCCCAGAGGCATGCAAACACAGGAGCCTTCACTGCACCCAAAAGTCTGCCAGCTGAGGGTCTGAGCAGGTTGGGCTCTGGTTGAGCATACTCGTCTCTTGCGTTTTCGGGTTCAAGTCTTCCAAGCCTTATCAACCTCAGCCTTCATTCCAGCTGCCCTTACCTTCTAATTACACCGAAGTTCAAGGCACTCGCCAGCTTTCCTTCCTCCTTAGGTGCATTTGAACCTACCCCCTCGGCACCCGTCCGACTCTTGGGCCAACGAAGGATGGACCGGATCAACACCGCGTTCCAACGCAACCTGCCTGACAGTTCAAGGACAGCTTGGTGTCCACTGGGTGCGACAGCATGGTTGCGAAGTTGCTACTTTGACCACGCCAGGTGCATGATTGCATGTCGATAGTACGCAGTGCCTGAAGTTTTGCGCTCTAAGTCCATGGAGTTGCTTCGGAAGTGTATACTGGGGCTTGCCCGGAGATGTATACCCAAAGGCCCCAAAGTAATTCCTTTTTGGGGCTCGTATATAGAATCCTATAAGGTAATCCCAAAAAGGAACTACTGTGGGACCTCTGGGTAGAGATTCCATCATGCTCGCATCCTGGAAGTGGATGTCCTCATCCTGAAGAAGAATGCAGAGCCATCCCAGACCCCTGGACGGCTAAGTCATATCATCTTTTCTTTAAATGCTGAAAAGCCCGCTAAAACCCTAAACCCCGTAATGTTAAGGGATAGAGTCAGAGTAGGGAGCGGATACAATTCGGCTCAGATGACTCTCGAAATCGGTCTTTGAGCTCTGGATGACTTCGGCGACAAAGTGTGAACGCTAATGATACACCAATAAGAACTAGTAAGTGTGATATGAGGAATCAATGGTTCCCGAGGTTTCAAGGATCCGGACAATCCGGAGATCCACAAGGATGAGCTTCCCAAGGCACATGAGCTGTGACCTCTTGGGGTTTGTGTTTCAACCGGGCCCTGAGTACTGCGAGCCGCCGAATAAGGATTTCCTTCGGGGGGGTGTGCTTCTCTGGTGTGTCTGCCGCGATTCGTACTCCTGAACTGTAGATCGACCACTTGAAACCGACTTTCGCTCGTCTGTCCGGGATCCATGCATCTCGGCTTGCGTCTCTGGAAGTCGTAGCTAGCTTAGGGATCCGAAGAAGCGGCAATAGGCTTTCTGCACAAATCGGGATGCCACAGCTACTTGTTATCTCGGAACAAGATGTCTCATGGGCGGCCGATGCAGCCCAGGTGCTTATGCATCTCGGCTACACGCAGATCCATGATGCCCGCATCCGGGATCTCGCAGACGGAATTACGAGGCTTGATCTCCGAAGTCTTCTTCGAAAATTGAGGGTTTAGGGTTTCAGGGTTTAAGGGCTTAGGGTTTAGGCTTGGGGTTCGGGCTCAATGAAGTAGAGCCTGTGACTATCTGCTGGGTTTTAGCTGATTAAGGCTGCTTGTCTTCCCGGAAGATCGCCCCAGGAAACTCAGGTTCCGCCCAATGGTCCCCGAAGAATTTGAAGAGCCCTGGCAGGTATCCCATGCTAGAGAAGGCGGAGTTTATCACCTTCATGGAGCAGCCGAAGCTGCAATTCAGAAAGTCTCGTTCTTGAGAGGGCTGATGGAAGCATCAGAAGCGCAGCAAAGGGCAACAGCAGCTCGACGTGAACCCGAAACCCTGGTAACATCTTCAGGAAACACGTGGAGTACGAGCTGCATGCCTTCAGGGACATCTTCGAGAGGTTTGATGCAGACGGTCCGGACCCAAGACGCCGCCCTTGGTCCATACCAGGAATCCATCCAAGATACTCTCATACTGGATAAGAGGACTTAGTTTGTGCAGAGTCTCCAATGTGGATTCTGTTCTGTCATGACTATGGAGGTCAGTTTGTTACATGGCACGCTACTCATATATGCAGTATGCAGTTTTGAAGCAGCCTCAATCTGTCTTACGGCTTCAGCTCAAGTCCGAGTCCCCTTGCTGAGGGAATGGCTGCCTGGATGCCGGTGAGCTGCACGTGTTCCTGTCTTCCTTGGGCTTCACGCCCCTGCGGAGCATTATCCGAGAGTCACTGGACCTCGTGGACCTGGACCTCAGACCTGCAATACAGGGTTTAGGGTATAAAGTTTTGGGGTTTAGGGATTCGCCGGAGTATTCCCGAAACCGTCGAGTGCTTCTGTAAGCTCGGGTTCTGCCAAGGCGGGTTTCTACATGCGGGGCATTCCTGATTCCACTGCAGAAAGTGGGGTAATCTGCCCCCACTGTTCAATATTGAAGCGTGATCCGAAAACTCGAAACGCCCTCAAAGCCCGCCAGCCCGCAAAGTCAAGGATGGCAACGGCACGCTCGACTTTGAGGAGACCGTGATCCTCATGCACGTCTACAGGCCATGCTTGGGGGTCAGTCGAAGACTGACATGTAGGGAGCAAGGACAAGCGTTTTTGGGGCAGGCCAACCAATTCTTAACCTCTTCACCAGGTCGTAGTTGTGTCAGTTGATCGGCTGAAAAGCCGAAGGTGGGACTAGCTGCTGGACCCTAGACCCTAAACCCCACAGCTTTGAGGGACCTGGAAAGCTTCACGGCCCCTGGCCACTGCATCTCTGAGCCTGCAGTCGAGTGGCTAGATCCAAACCGATTAAACCTGGGAAGCAATGAAACCTTGAAATCTCAGAGCTGTTCCTTTCGAATGGTCTTCAGCAATGTCCCCTTACCAAAGGTAGTCCTGTACTCCCTATATAGCCATTCTATATAGCATACCGAAACCCGGTTCTGATTGTTCAGTCCCCTGCCTTAGTGTAATCAGGCGTCAGGTTTGGAAGCTTGAAGTGGCAAAAGCCAAAAATGGCATGTCACTGCCCCACATGTTGACAATGAGCGTGTGCTGACTCGACCAGCTGGCTGACAAAAACACCATGGAAAGCGTGACATAGAGTTGTGCAAGAGCTTTTCACGACCAAGGCGGATACTCGTGCAATTTTCGAGGCGTCTGTTCAAGACCCTGACTAGGAGGACCAATTCGTAAGGAGCCCCAGAAGGGACCGACCTCCAAATTACATATTATGATATATATGTATATATATATTTATTTATTTATTTATTTATTTGTGTATTTATCTATATATTTATTTATATTTATATTATGTAATTATGTAATGTGTGTGTGTGTTGTATGATACACACTGATTGTATATTCTAGTTTAGAAACCCGGGCAGATCGTGCAGCTGAGGCACTCCGAGGGTTTCACCCTGGACGAGCTGCAGGAGACGATGTATGTGTCCGATGGGTCCATCGTGTATCAAATCAAGACGACTTTGATCCAAGCCCTGTCCCTCACCATTCCCACGAGCATGTCAGCATGGGAGCAGCGTTAGAATTCGTGCACTCTTCTAAGCAACCCTGTTACTTTTCAGCTCTTGAAGTCTTGTGACCAAGAGGAGCTCACTGCAGCCTTCGTCGAGCAGACAGGAGCAAACGGGAAGATGGACGACAGGAGCCTTAGACTTTCTGCTGTTTGTCATGTGCGGGCTTTAGCTGTTAGTGACGATCCAGCATGGGCGCCTGGTTACTTTGGCAGGGAGACTGAGATGAGGCCCCGTGCGAGTCGAGTATTGTACTCGGAGAGGTCGACAGGCTCTCGACTTCACCAGCAGCAGGGGCATCACCACAACAATCAGCAGCATGGCCATACTCACATATCGTAAAATCTTCCTATCTTCATCTTCGTCCTGATCATCATACCGTGGTGCAGTTTGGATCTGGAGCTGTTTTTTGTTTGCGGCAGCGCTGCTTAACTTGATCCGACGGTCACCGAATCAGATTCCAGTCGCTGTGGTGCTCACTTTCGCACCTATCATCTCCCTCTACCACAGCTCTGCCTTGGCAGGACGCTTCCGGCAGACAGGCTGCAGCACCTGCTGATCAGCTTCTTCGGGCGTCTTGGCGGCAGATGACCTTGTCTAAATCTTTAAGTGTCAACAGGTTCGAGCACTGAAAAGGCTGACATACTCGTAACGAGGTATCAGCGACGCCACCGTAGGGGATCATGAAAGTATGGTGAAGTATGGTGTGGGATACGATAGTATAGTATAGTGCTACAGTATCTTACAGCATGTTATAGTATAGTATTATTGTGCATGATTCAGGTTCAGACATAGTTGCCGAAGGGCTGCGCCTTCCCTCCGAAGCTTCGTGCTCTCCCGACACCGACGAGAGTTGCAATCTCTATAGTAGTACGGTTGATGATATAAATCCTGCATTACCTTAAGGACCCTAAACTATGGGATTTGTGGTATAGTCCTTATTATGTGTAATGCAGGATTTACATCATCAACAGTATCACAAGGGGATTGGGCTTGCCCAAAAGCAGCAACAAGCCTTCATGCTCCTGCCAAACAAGGCCACGGGCGACCCAGTTTTCCACCGAACTGCAGGAGGACAGGCAGTCGGCTGGGAGGTCGTGCGTGGGATCGGGCTGAAAAGACTTTGTGAGGGCGGGGGGTCTGGGGCTTGTACGGTTCAGGTTTTGGACTTGTTGCAGCTATCATTGCGCCCATCATCCTCTTGTAGTTGTTCCTCTTGTGGTTGATTTTCATTGGTCTGGAATCTCACAGTGGTGGTCGTCGTCAGGCCATGTCTGTTTCCATCAGCCCATGTGAAGGAGATCATCAGATCGGGTCGGCGGAAGAGCAACATGGATCCACAGGGTGCCTCTTCCAGTCAGCAGGGGAGAACAGCTGTAGCTGTCCAGGGTTCGGTTGTCTTTTGACTGGAAGTGATGGGTGCTGCTTCACACAATACCGCGGTAAGTGGAAGAATGCTTCCGACTCTAGAATTCATAGGACTTCAGGACAGCCATGAGCTGTCTTGGCTTCATGGGACAGCTCCCGAACCTCAACAATTCCGTGAAAGCAAGAAGCCCGCACTTTGCCGCTGAAGCCCAAGGGTTTAATTCTTGCTGGAACTCCGGCCAGAGTGTGAAACCGAAAGGGTGCGGACAGAGTTTGATCTAGCAGTGCCCAAGCTGGCTTCCATCAAGCCGGACAGGTGACAAGGGCCCACCACCGGCTCTAACTTTTCAAGAGGCGGTACTGTGGGCCCGGCGTTTCCGGGAGAGGATGTTCACGAGCTATCGCCCGGGCCTTGCGGGATGCGGGGATATAGGTGTCGGGGTTACGATGATCAGGGGAGTGGTACCATGAGGTCAGAACTCGGGGCAAGCAGCTTCAGAACGGTGGGTCAGTGGTGCACGGCTTGCTTTGCACGTCTTGGCTGTTGTTCGTGAGCGGCTACAAGTATGTTGACATACGATCTCGGTCTGTGTGTGTGTGTGTGTATGCAACTCCTGTCTCCAAGGATTTTGAGTCGTAACATTCTCGGTAACATTATTTTTGAAGAAAAGCAGGGGGCCAGCCCTCTTGTCATTGGTGGATGGCCAACGAAGAGGCCAATGGCAAGAGCTGCAAACGTACCTGCACGTAGCTTGAGCCTTGAGGCTCAAACAGTCAACTGTATCGCTCATCTAGTATTCCGTGACATCCGAATTATACCGTACTGAAGAGTTTCAATTCTGGCTTGCAACCAGACTACTTTGCAAAGATCCAACGTTCTTTAGAGGCCGATGCTCTCCCAGGTAACCCCTGCCAACAAGCACCCAAGCATCTCTGATACGTCTGTTTCAGGTGTATCAGACCGTTGTGTCATAGCATACCCAAGTTTTGCAGATCCAAAGTCCCATTATACCCTAGGTCAGTCTTTGAGAATGATCACCCAAAGTTGACCCATTGTCTTGATAGTTTTCTGCTAAGCATTCCCAAAGCTGGTCCATCTCATTTTGCGACCCAAAGCATACCCAAAGCTCTCGGAGAGATTCGTTCCGTTTCGCCACCCAACAAGCACCCAGCGTCCGTTACGTGCACTGCTTGCATATAGCTAAAGTTGTAGCTTCATCATCATTAAGATTTGCAGGTTCGTTGTAGATTTCGTTCGCCACCCAAAGCTGATCCAGCATTCGTGTGATCTTCGTCTCGTGGCATTACATTTCCATTCGAAGCATTCGTGTTTAGGGCAAGGGCGCTTGTTGTGTTGCCATTGTTGTTCTTCGTTCAGTCGTCGTCGTCGTCGTGTTCCTGTGCTGTTGCTCCTGCTCGCCGTGTAGATGTTCCAGCCACAATTATTGTGGTGTTGGTTGTTGTGTCGTTCGGTCGTCGTCGTTGTTGGTGCTCGTTTGCTTACTTCCGTCCTTAGCACGTTCGCGTCGATGTTGTTGTCGTCGACGGTATGACCTTAAGGGTTTGGTTATTTTGGAGATTCCGTTTTTATCGCTTCAGCTTGTCTAGAGTCTAGTTGCTCTGCTGACAACCGGTTACAACCGGAATTGTGTGTGTGTGTGGAAATCCTGTATCTGACGATCTTGAGTCGTAAATTGCTGCAGTAAATTGCTGCAGAGAAGCAGGGGTGTGGCTCAAAAAGTATCAGTTTATCAAGAACATGACGACGACGACACAAGAGACGACGACAAAACAACGGAAAGAAGAGATGCATGGGCAGATCGAAAGTTTTCGAACAGAAAGATTTGGCCCAGGTATACGGGGGATCACTATTGGTTTGTTTTTCAGATTCAGGTGGTGACTTTCAGCTGTTTGTCTAGTTGTTTTGTTTGACAGCCGGTTCCACTGGGGCCGTGTGTGTGCAACTCCTGTCTCCAAGGATTTTGAGTCGTAACATTCTCAGTAACATTATTTTTGAAGAAAAGCAGGGGGCCAGCCCTCTTGTCATTGGTGGATGGCCAACGAAGAAGCTAATAACAAGAGCTGCAAACGTACCTGCACGTAGCTTGAGCCTTGAGACTCAAACAATCAATTGTATCGCTCATCTAGTATTCCGTGACATCCGAATTATACCCCACTGAAGAGATTCAATTCTGGCTTGCAACCTGACTACTTTGCAAAGAGCCATCGTTCTTTAAAGGCTGACGCGCTCCTTGGTATACCCCTGCCAACAAGCACCCAAGCATCTCTGATACGTCTGTTTCAGGTGTATCAGACTATTGTGCCATAGCATACCCAAGTTTTGCAGATCCAAAGTCCTATTATACCCTATAGGTCATTCTCTGAGAATGATCACCCAAAGTTGACCCATTGTCTTGATAGTTTGCTGCTAAGCAGTCCCAAAGCTGATCCATCGCATTTTGCGACCCAAAGCATACCCAAAGCTCTCGGAGAGATTCGTTCCGTTTCGCCACCCAACAAGCACCCAGCGTCCGTTACGTGCACTGCTTGCTTATAGCTAAAACAGCAGCTTCATCATCATTAAGATTTGCAGGTTCGTTGTAGATTTCGTTCGCCACCCAAAGCTGATCCAGCATTCGTGTGATCTTCGTCTCGTGGCATTACATTTCCAGTCGAAGCATTCGTGTTTAGAACAGGGGCGCCTGTTGTGTTGCCATTGTTGTTCTTCGTTCAGTCGTCGTCGTCGTCGTGTTTTTGTGTTGCTCCTGCTCGCCGTGTAGATGTTCCAGCCACAATTATTGTGGTGTTGGTTGTTGTGTCGCTCGGTCGTCGTCGTTGTTGGTGCTCGTTTGCTTACTTCTGTCCTTAGCACGTTCGCGTCGATGTTGTTGTCGTCGACGGTATGACCTTAAGGGTTTGGTTATTTTGGAGATTCCGTTTTTATCGCTTCAGCTTGTCTAGTTGCTCTGCTGACAACCGGTTACAGCCGGAATTGTGTGTGTGTGTGTGGAAATCCTGTATCTGAAGATCTTGAGTCGTAAATTGCTGCAGAGAAGCAGGGGTGTGGCTCAACAAGTATCAGTTTATCAAGAACATGACGACGACGACGACAAAACAACGGAAAGAAGAGATGCAGGGTCACTACTGGTTTGTTTTTCAGATTTTAGGTTGTGACTTTCAACTGTTTGTCTAGTTGTTTTGTTTGACAGCCGGTTCCACTGGGGCCGTGTTTGCGCAACTCTTGTCTCCAAGGATTTTGAGTCGTAACATTCTCGGTAACATTATTTTTGAAGAAAAGCAACGGGCCAGCCCTCTTGTCATTGGTGGAGACTCAAACAATCAATTGTATCGCTCATACAATATTCCGTGCCTTTTAAAACAGCCTTCAAAAGAAAATTTCCCAAAGGCCTCAATATCTACAATATGAGCTAGTTTAATGGATGAGATTTTGAAGTATATAGTGAAAAAAGTGACGGAGAACAAAGAGATCGAAGACAAAAGAAAACCAAACTTTGCGACAACCGGCGAAGACCGGATCTACATGTGTGTGTGTGTGTATGAGTGCAT